GAGCCGTCATATCATACTACATATGTAGTATGAGCCAGTGGGCGGAAGAGAGCCGTCTGTTCCATCACAAAATGGCATAGGTTATAATAATATTTTCTACTTTTGTTATTTTTGCTAAGGGTTTTGAAGGTATCGAAGTTCATTGGGTTGTTAACTGGAGGGGTAGAGATCGTGGTAATACAAGGCTAGGGAGTAATATAGAAGGTATTATAAAGAGTAAAGTAAAGATTATTCGAATTGGAATTAGGATTATATAAATTTTCCTGAAGATTCTGATCCTAGAGCAAAAAACTTATTTTTCTATTCAAAAAGATTATTTTTTATACAAAATATAATATCCAGTATTAATAAGTTTTTTAATCCCAAAGTGATTTTCCCCTTCAAAAATATCATTATTATTATATCTAATAATTTTATTATAAAACCAAGCTTCTTCAAAGTTATAAAAAACAAAACAAAGGACTGTTTTTTTTATTATAATTAATTTTTTAAATTTTATTATAGTATCTCGTTTTAAATTAATCAAAATGTAGAGTTTATTAAGTCTTTTTAAGAAAAAATTTGCAATAAAATAGAGAGAAATATTATTTAATATTGTAAGGATATTTTCGAGTTTTTTTTATTATATTATATTATCAAATAATATAATTATATAAACAAGTTTTTTTTTCCTATATTAAAGCAAATTATATTATATTCTCAGCAAAGTTAAAAACTAAGTTTTCAAGAGAGATATTTCTTTTATTATATAAGTAGATTTGATTTTTTATCTTTGAAAAATTTAACGTTTTTTATTATTAATTAGATATAAAAAGGATTTGAAAAAGATTTTGATTAAAGATCTTGGCAGTAAAGTTGTATACTTCTTGAAGTTGATATTGTTAAATAAGGAGATTATTGCGAATTTGATTGAATTGTTCTTTGATAACTGATTGGATTATATCTTCAATTAACTAGGTTGTATATTCAATATAGTGTTTTTCAATAATAGTTTTAAATATAGCAAATAGATTTCGAAGAAAGTGTTAAGTAGTAGAGTTGGTGTTTTTTTATACTGAATAAATTAATTAATAGAATTAGATCTTAAAGAGAGATACTGGAAGTAAAAATATTAGTGATATAGGGTTGGTTTTGGAATATTTGATGAATATATATAATCAAGGTTTTATATATCTTGGTTTCAGAAGCAGGTATATTGGTATTAATAATAGATATACCAGGGTTGATATCACTGGGTGTAGCTGATAAATTTGTGAAATCGGTTATTGTAATAGTACAAATTGAAGTTGGAATCAAAGTTATTAAATTAAAGTTGCTGTATACAAGTAGGTATAATCAAAGCCGGACTGTTATCGATAACAGGGTCTTTTGAAGGGTCGAATATACTATCACAGGGCTGATATGGGTATTAGGTAAGATGTATAATATTTGACAAAGAGAGAAGGAGGTGCGCGGAGCGACAACGGCTATATGGTGGGTGGATGCCTAAGGCATCCATCCGAGCTAGCTAGGAACGGATAATGAACCCGTGACAATAATTGATAACAATAAACTTCGAATCTTATAAATTTCTGGGATAAACTAGATAGTGGATATATTAACAAAGGTTTTGTTTATATCGAAATTCGAGTAATATTTAAAAAGTTTAGAATTAGTTATTTAAGATTAATTTAAATAAAATAACTCTGATTATTTAATAAAGTTATAAATATTACTTATAAACTACTTTTTTCAGAATAGAATATCAAAAGAGTATCTTTAGCTAAAGAAATAATAAATTTCGAAGGAATTAGAGCATTTTTGTATTATAATATACTTATTATAGAATAATCGAATTTTATAGGAGATTAGATATTATAGTACTATTTGCTATTATAAGAGTTAATAAGACTCTAGAGTTTAGTCAAGAATAGGATTCAGGTATATAGTCTGGTAGTATTTTGTGATTAGTTATTCTAATTAATAGAAGGATATTGGAAATACAATATAGAGTCATATAAGATTATATAATATAGTTTATATGATATTGTTTATATATATATGCCTTATATACTTATATATATATCCAATACCACTAGAATACCTCTAAGGATATACATATACAATATTACTACTATTATATCTATTATAATCTTAGTGATATTCCAACAAATATAACTCTTTAACGAAATTTACTACTCGAGTATAATAATAATATATAAATACATATTTGAATATGTAACGAAATAGATGGCTCTCTTCCATCCACTAGCTCATATATCTTATATAATATAATAAGATAATTCTTTTAAATCTTTTTTTTTAGATTAAAACTTTAGTTTTATAGCTTTAAATCTAGATATTATACAATATTTGTTTCTATAATAATGATTCTCAAATATTTATAAGAAGTAATAATATAAATAACAAAATCTATAATAACAAAATAAAATTTACTATATAAGTTGATTAGTACTATGATTATATAAAAATTGCTCTTGGGCCTGAGTACTAGTAATGGGGTTCTTTGATAATCACTGCAAGCTAAATTTTGCCCCTCTTCACCGCCGTTGCTGAGCAATGCTTCTACTCAAGTTACTTTTGATGATTATATACTGTGAACTTCATAACATTTTCAGTCTTCCTCCCATCTTCAAGCCAACATTGTAATTTCGACTTTTGCTAAACATGGCAACCCGATCTCTCACACGCAGATGTGGGCTTACCTCTACCACTCCACCCACATCAGTCGTTCAAGGATATATAAAGACCGCCACAACAGTTCGAATGCATCACCAAAACACCCCGCGTCCAATATTCGACTTTCTGGTTCCACGTTTCGGTGCTCCCATCCAGTCGGCATTTGTTTTCGAGCGAAAGAGGATATTAAGAACTCCTGCCAGGAATTTCTCGAGTACTAGGGTACGAAAGGCTACTGTCACCACATTCAATCCACAGAAGAATGATGATGGCACAGAGCAGAAGATTGAAATCACCCAGCGTGCTGCAAATGTAAATATCACTGCCTTTCTCTTTCATTGTGTCCTTAACTACGCATTGAATCACATGCTAATGAACTACTCACAGCGATTACAACAACTCCGCAAAAAAGAAAATAACCCTAATCTCGCGCTCCGAATCGAAGTTCAATCGGGGGGCTGCCATGGGTTCCAATATGTGATGTCTTTATGCGATCTCCCGGCCAATATCTCCCGAGATCTTTTCACGGCAAATACTGTCCGGAATGAATCCTCTCCCGCTCTCAATACTTCATCCGCAGATTCAAATACCGTCCCTGACTCCCCTCCACCCTCGAATCCAAACACCTCAGCCACAATGGACCTTCGCGAAGACGACACAGTATTCAGTTACATTAGTGACCACTCCCACGCCAATGTCGTTATGGATAATTTCAGTCTCGATGCTTTGAAGGGCAGCAGAATAGATTATGAAGTCAAGTTAATTGGTGCCGAATTTAAGATCATTGACAATCCGGCTGCGACTAGCAGTTGTGGTTGTGGAACGAGCTTTGACATTAAGTTTTGAATTTTAAGGGAGACGACGAGTGTATTATATATTGCCGGATATGATCTACAAAGTTCTGGGACATGATATACCATTCAAATTTTGAAATCGCGATAAAGGCATGGATGGTATATTACTATATGTAGTGCAAATCAGCAATCAGGGTGAACAAGGACAGAAGGGTTTATGAAAAAAATCCTGAATAGATGTATGTGTATGATCATAAGCATGGCATTGTGTGTGCTTCTACTATAATCCGCTTTCTCGTCGTTTGAAAGCGCATCTATTGGGACGCCAAATTGTATCCCACAGTACCACAAGGAGGACTAGAACATTGGTCTGCCCAAGAGGTTAAAGAGTCCGGGAAGTATCAGAAGAGGAAGATCTCCAAAGTTCAGCTCACGAGCGGATTTGAGCTAAGCAATGGTGTTGAAGTGGTGAAGTTTACAGTGGTAGTGACAAGGTACACAAGAAAAGTAATGGCACAGACGGAACAATGAGAAGATGTGAGTGATGAGTTGTGTAGCAGTAAAATCAAAATTGGTATCAATTATTTCATAGAAGTGTATTATTCTTTTGGGATCTTATACGCCATACATGCCAGCAAACGTTAAGCCAAAGAAAATACCCCCATTCCCGTCCCAAACTTTAGTTCATTTGTCTAACCAAAGCGTTAATCTTCTCCTCACGGTTACCGAGATCACCACCAAGAACGTAGTGGTTGAACTTTCTTGGGCGGAAACCACCAGTTGGGTTGCTGAGCTTGAATGGCCAGAGGAAGTTGGCGGCTTGCTTGAAGTTGGGGCCGACAGTGAAGATCTCGTGGATCAAATCCTCCATACAGACGATACCGTACTTGCCGAGGTTGGTCTCAATGATAGAGTTGTCGGTAAGAGCAATACGTTGCTTGTCGACCTTACCGTAACCACGCTTGTAGACGAGCTCACGGACGGTCTTAAGGTTGGGGTAACCATAGGCGATCCATGGCTCGACAACCTTAAGCATCTCGAGGGTAGCCTTGGTCATGCGGACAAAGACACCGTTGTTGATTTGAAGAAGACGGAGGAGCTGGAGGATCTTGCGAGGCTTTGGTGCAATCTTGTTGATACCCTTAATACGGATAACGAAGACCAACTTGGGCTCGGCTGGGATGTAGAAAGAACCAGAGAGCTTGGCGACACGAGCAAGACGGATCTTCTCACGCTCTTCATCGCGGTACTCCTTAACGTACTTCTCGGCACGCTTGAAGATGACACCACGCTTCTCCTTGTTGGCCTATTTGACGAAAACAATTAGCCTGGAGATCAAATAAAGAAATGGATACCAATGGCATGTGTTTAACTTTTATCAGACCCGAAAGATGGTTAATTTGGACAACATTGACGCAAGTCTAGTCGCAAACATGGTTGTTTATGCATCATATAAAGTAACACAAGCCATATAGTGGGAGCATTGTTTTTGAACATACCTTCTTGGCTTTCTCGGTCTCTGCAGCTCGTGCCTCTCTCTCCTTGGCTTGACTCTTACGCTTCTTCAAGAGAGTCTCAGGGATGAGAACCTGCTGAGCGGTTGGGGTAGTTCTACATCATCTATTAGTCTTATATCCCGCATACGTATGTATGGAGAAGAGCGCCGAGAGGGAATTGCAGCTATAGCGCAGCATTCTCGCAAAAGGCAAACTCGACTGTAATTGTTTTAATCGGTGAAAATTGAATCTGTCTTGAGAAACCCCTCTTCCTACGAAGGTAGAGTCGCAGATTCTAGATAACAATTATTCTCATCCGACAAGACCTTGGAAAGATCCAAGAGATATGCACAGCAGTATTGAATGTTTTCATGGTCCTTGGGGGGCACCACTACATTTACATCCATGTGCGCCAATTGTTTTAGAGGAGAAGATTTTCATCTTCAACCTCAAGACCCCATACTACATCTCTCGCAGTGCAAGCCAACAGACCTGCATCAGCGAGGGAGAAGTTTAGGACAGTTCGAGCTGAAAACCATTTCAGGCTTCAGCTTTCGAGAGGAACGCGACCATATCTGAATCCAACACAATCGATTGACTCTTCGAAGGAGTATGGGAAGGTTCTTACGTGGCAGACATCGTGGCGGATTGGCGAATTTGAGGTTGTCGTGTCGAACAGAATCAATCTGAGAACGAGGAGAATTTATCGCTGAAGATGGTGTGAAAAATTATCTCGCTTAATATTGCGCTAATAAAGCTAGCCCCGGCTCATAAAATTGTGCTGTCGCCGATATCACGTGCACAAATAGCATGAAAGAGAGCTTCGAATCGAAACGAACTCAATTCCCCAACTTGTTTTCTACATTTCTTTGAAATCCGTTTGGAGAATGTCTCAATTTGGTCATTGAGGTTTGATTCTTCTAGTTTTTTTTTATTTCATGTTGGTCTCAATAGGTAATTCATACTAGTAGCCATCGTGAGAACTCGGTGTCCGACAATGTCCATAATTTATGCCATAGGCTCAAATGGCTCAGGGCAACTCGGAATCGGCCATAAAGAAGATGTATCAGTCCCCAAGCCAGTTCTTTTCAATGAAGACATTCCCGTTGGAGTCCAGCAAATCAGAGCCGGAGGTAACCATACCCTTATACTATCAACAACAGGTGAACTATACTGTTCAGGCGATTCATCCTACGGAGCTTGTGGGCTCACTCCCGGTTCGCATCCTACTGAAGCGAAATTTCGACGTGTGAAGCTTTCGGATGATTTTCCAATCAATGAAGCACCAGTAGTATTCTGTGCAGCAACTTGGGAAGCATCCATCATTGTCCAGCAAGATGAAGATGGCCATGCAACGAAGGTGTATTGCTTCGGGACAGGAAATAAAGGGGAATTAGGTTTGGGGGAGTTTTTATTTCGATCATCCAAACCTCAAATGATTGAAAACTTCCCACCCGCTGGTCTGAAAGTTGTTGATCTTGCCACATCCGTCAGTCATGCGGTGGTCGTCTTGAGCAACGGCGACGTTTATGGTTGGGGAAGTGGGAGAAAAGGTCAACTTGGTCAACCTGAAGGTATAATTTATTCTCCTCGTAAGATTGAAGGTCTGGAGTTCAAAGCTGTCAGAGCCATTTGCGGAAGGGAGTTCACATGTATTTTGGCGGAGTCCTCGAGTAGTCAACATAAAATTTTAGGGTCCAACAAGTGGAACATTAGATCTGCCGCACCGGAGAAATTATCAAGTTGGACCGACGTTGGTAGTACCTGGGGAAGTATTCTACTATTACAGAACAATGAAGCTCTCACGTCTTGGGGAAGAGACGATCATGGACAATTGGCTCCATCGCAACTACCACCCGTGCGTCAAATTGCTATTGGCAGTGAGCATGGTCTGGCACTCACCACAAAAGGCGAAGTCTGTGCATGGGGGTGGGGTGAGCACGGGAATTGTGGACCAAAAACCAAAGATGGAAATGTAAAAGGCACATGGAATGTGGTGGCATCTTCTGGCTACTTACCACCAGGAGCAAAGATCTCATATATCGGTGCTGGGTGTGCTACCAGCTGGATCTGTCTTAGCTAGCCGAGCCAAGATGAGCAAATCAATATTCTCACAAGCTGCATGCTGATTCTTCTTGAGTTATTTACCTCGACACTGAAATCTTTATGTACCTCAGCAACCCACTTGAAAGGATACACGTCGTGTCTCTTCGAGTCATACTCAGACTCCACCCGCAGCTTTTGGTACCACATTCCAGTGTCTAGTCCATGTCTTAGATCAAGCCAAGGCATCACTCGTCCAACAAGCCATGAACCTAGTACGATTGATTAATAGATTCCCTGAGTATCAGACTTTGCAACTCACTTGTGATAATCGCTGAGTTGGTGCTACACGTTGTGTAGGTACGGTCAAGTATCTTTGGTTGGGTATTTCAGGGTCTAGATGACTCTTATTTTGAGTCTCTTGTAATCGGCGACTTGGATCACTAGCTGAAGATTCCTGTAAAGAGTTAGAAACAGCCTTCGAGCAGATGTTTATCAAACCTACGTCTACACCTGCATCCCATAATAACATCTCATTGTCCTCATCCTCGTAATCGACCGGGTCCCACCTGCGATCGTCATCGTTCGCTGGCAAGAAAAGCGCTTGTGATTGAATGCTAGGCTCTGGTGGTGGTGGGGATGGCCTAGAAATCTTTCTCCTTGTGTTTTCTCGAGCTAGGCTTGGAGCTGGACCGGTTGGCGGAGCCATTTCGGAGCCTGATCTAGTTCTTTTTAAACTCGATGTGGCTTCCAAGGGCTGTCTTACAGCTGGCTTTTTCGAAGCTGTTCGAGTCCCATCTGCTGTTGGTGTTGCCGATGCCGCCCTCGCCTCACCTGTTGTCATAAGGATAAATTCGCATTGCATTCCGCCCTCACTGTACATAAGCTGCATTGGGCTTGAAGGATTTGAGTACACAGCTCTGATATTTGTGTTGGTAATCCCGGCATGAGCAATGATTGATTTGAAATCCTTGACGCTGATAACAATGTGAAGATGCTCTTTGACGGCGAACTCGACGAATTCCGAGGTTTCCACGACTATTGTGGTGCGCAAAGGCTGCTTCAAGACTTCTATAGAAAAATTAGTACTTTGCATGAGCTACGAGCGAGATTGAGATAAGACTTGCCGTTCCCAGACATGATCTTCTCCGTGAAACTGGTAAGACTCACGCGACCATCAATAGAGAAAACATCGAGCTGTTCAGTCCCGGGCCCAAAATGCTCTGCAAACTCGCGCAGCGTTTTAGAAGAGATCGACCAGTTATTGCTTGCTGAATCTTCTGAGAACAGCGCATGCATAGGGGGGACATCTTCAAAATTCAATCGGTAAATTTTTAAGACGCCTAGTTGTGGTGCGGCAGTCAGCAAGAATAGAATCCCTCTTCATTATTCATATTTACCATGTCTGCATAGAATTTTCACAGTAAAACGACTTTTTGTTGCCCTGTCTCCATCTTCAATCGAGACATCACATCTTTCTATGGCGGTGTCTTTTTCCTTAGAAGCATCACCCCCAACACGACCCCTAAAAACAGCCAGTAAGGCCTATTAAATAATTAGCTTACAGTCTCGATATCGTACAGATCCGTAGACACATAAGATTACCTTGTTGTAAATCTTACAGCTAAACTTTTCCGGCGTTTGACGACCATTACGCACTGGCGTATATATGTACTTAGAGAAGAATTTCTTTCCCACTAACGTGAAGGAAGCATAAGCTGACTTTGTAGAGTTGAGTGTTGTCAAGGTGAGCTGTGAACGCTGTTAGTAACCCATATAATCGTTAGGTTTCTTAACTCACCTTGCTGTTAGTAGCTTCGATAGAAACCGTTTCACTAAATTTCCCAAGACAAACGAGTGCGTCATGGAATTTACCCAAAGCGTCCGGAGTAAGTGTGAAAGTCAAGATCGCCATCGTAAATTAAAGGGACACTAGCAACACAGATTCTAATCAGAGTAATAGCCTTTCAAAACCGCGAAAATGTTCATACAATAGTCTTAAGAAAATTATGAGTACGAATTCGTGAACGTCAAATGCAAAATATATCTTCCTGAAAGTTAACATCACGTGCTTTCCGACGCGGTCCTGCCTAATGATGCGCTTTGCCCCGCGCCCCCGCGCCCCCGTGTCTACATTCACAAAGAGAGAGAACATCGAATGAACAATAAATTAATGACATTTCATTACATGCATACCTAGGTAGATATTTTTTTTATATCAATACTGTTGAAGACATCAGCAACAACGCACCCGAAATTAGTACCTTTCAACACAACTATATGATGTCTGCGAAGCTAGAGATCGAAGCAAACTCCAAGGCTACCATCTCTAGTCCAGCGCGCAGATTGATACCTGATGAACGGAAGATTATAATTTTGCCAGGAGATATACTTCTCCAGATATGCGAAGAGTTAGGTAGTCAACTTGAATTTGGAGTTCTTTTCAATTGTGCTATATCCGGCAAGCAATTAGTTGGCTCTGCTCTATTATGGCTATATAGGTAGGAAACTCACCCGGGAATCCATTGCCCATGCTGAATACTTCATTAAACTATGGCAGATCACACAATGAATATTTAAGAATCATTAGTAGCGAAGGCGAAGCTCCTGAGTGGTCGAAGATACAAAGGTGGAATTCTAAATACAACGCGGCTTCGAAGTGGGCATTGTCATGGAAATCTATTGTACGCTCGAGTCTAGGGGCTACCGCCTACCCATACTGTCTATATATACGCTCGCTCGATTTGACCAATCTGTCGAATCTCCTCGAGGATAGTACCTTTCAAATGTCTGCGATGGACAACTTTTTCGCTCATGAAATGGCAAAGTTCTCAAGTGTAGATGGAACACTTAGAAGACGCTCCATGAGAGGACCACAAGTCCGACTCAATACTACAAAGATTCTTGATCTTATAGGGGAATCTATTACAAGATATGTTAGCGAACGTGCGGACGAAAACCAGACAACAGTCACTTTAGAGAATCTCTCTGGGGATATTACATCAATTGCATTACCAACATGGGTGGGACGTTTATCGAGGTTGAAATCTATGACTATTTGGGATGGAAAATCTTTGAACAAAAACGTAGCGACAGTTATATCCAATAAATGCCCCAACTTCGACGAAATACGCATATTCGTCTGTTCAGATGATACGGATCACAATCCGGCCTCGTTCATAAAAGGACTCAGACAAGACAGTCTTCATTCCCTCGAGGTCTTGTCTAATTGTAGAGTTGGTCCAACATTTTTGACTGCCTTGACCCATCATTCTGGATCGCTGAAAAGTTTAAGGCTACAGAGCCTCAATGTGGAAGCCATCAAGAGTCTCAACATCCTTCAAAGTTGCACTTTGCTTGAGACACTTGACCTAGAAGACAGTCAGCATACTGTGGACTTAGAAGCTACAGAAAACGACGTATTCCTTGACATTGTCGAATGGTTAGGACGGTGTGAGAAGCTCCGAGAATTGGTCCTGAATAGAATTGTTTGTGCCCCGGCCGTTCTGAAGCAAGTTTGTTCACGAAACAACATTCGACTACGCAGATTAGTAGTCACCGGCCCCGCTCTCGTCAGTGATACGGACTTTCATAGAGCAATTTCTAATCAGACTGACCTCGAGGTTCTTGAACTCCGGGGTGGCTCGGACGAGGTCTTCAGAGTCAGAGACGATATCGACAACCTCCTCGCATCAATCTGTCAGCTCACTAAGCTCAAGGGACTTACACTTATGGAATCATTCGAGTATTTCAGCAGCAACGAAATCAAACGTCTCGCAAAAAGCCTACCCCTTCTAGAAAAGTTTCACTTTTCAGGCTATGGCATTGGAGATGAAATCTTACCATGTTTATCTAACCTTCATAATCTGCGAGACGTGTCCATCGCTGCAATTTCCAACTTTACCCTTGGTGGCTTGCTGGCCTACGTGTCGACTTTACGCGATTCAAACCAAGGTCTCGTACTTTCAGTCATGAGTCAGAATTCGGACCAGGATCTCGCACCCTTAGAGCAGCAGCTCATTCGAGAAGGTATGATTGCAAAGGTAGATGGCAAGTTCGACTTTGCACTGCTGAGAGAGGTGGCTGAATCGGAGTTTGATTCTGCATCTGATTAGATGTGGAATATGATCATGGGGGGGGGGTGGCTTGGTTTGCTGGGGTGGAATTGGGGTGGAATTCTGACGATACCAAAATGAGAAGTTGGGCTTCTTGAATATCAACAAATTAAGTCAATGAAGATGAACCACTGTGTGAGAAAGGGGTAAAGGTCATTTGATTCGTGGCCGGCCATCATATCTTCTTATAGAGACTGTCTAAATTGAGTGATAGAAACATTCACAAATCATTATCAACAGCAGCTACTGCCTCTGCAAGAATAAATGGATGAAAATAAGGAAGTTTTCAGATGAATAGATCCTAGACGCTTGTTTAAAAAGCGACTAATCCTATGACCGAGCGGAGTGTGCGATTAAATCTTGGAAGAGAGATGCATGGCTACTTTTTCACCTATTGAGCGGCCGACCAGAATGAAAGGCTTATTTGGGGGAAGGAGCTGGAGCATGAGAATAAAGATGTCGGTGCAGAAATCTCGGATGTGGTAGGCATCAGAATCTCGTGGGCCGGTGGGGAACCCAACAGCTAGGCTGGGCAATAATAGTTGGTGGGAAGGACGGTGATGGCAGGAACACAGATGCGCGAGGAAACGCCCCATAAATGTAAAATATTAGGGCTGGTGAGGAGTTTGGTGTACCAGAGGAAAGAATATTGAGATGAGTTGAGCAGTTGAGGAGTTGACTTCGTAGATTTTAAGGTTGCCATTGCAGATACTACTTCTTGTAAATGTTGCAACTGAACTGAAGTCTGAGGTGTATTTCATGTCTGAATTGAGTTGAATATCTGGATTGATCAGCTGATTTGAGTTGAATGCTGGAGCTCTAGCTGATCCCTGTGTGTATTATATATCATTGGAAGCCCGCTCCCCTAAGCCGTCGCTTGTAACCTTTCCGAAAATGGTGATGCTCCGAGGTTCCTTTTCAAAGTCCAGTGGGCTCACATATTTGAAATCTCTTCTTGACATGGTGTAAAGGCAACTAAACATATGCGGGTCGATACTGCAAATAAGCCGCATACCCCATGCTTACCTCTTACACATACAGGTCGTGCCGGGATTGGAAAACGGGGCTGGATGTAGCAAAACAACCTACGGATGTACACGATTATGGTCGATGGTAGCACGGTTCTACACAGATATCTGAGGGGGTTTGCTGCGTCATGTTGAACACAATAATCTGAAGCGATAACTTGAGATCAAGGGTCGCCCCCTTTCTTCGATGATTTTTGTTTCGCAGTTTCCATGTCTTCTACTGATTTTCCCCAGCCCTCCTCAAGATCAGTATCATCCTCAAAACCTTCCTCAAAATCCTCCTCAACATTGTCTTCCCCTGTCTTCGCCGCGTTTTGTTCTGCCAAAAGTCGGTATTTTCTCTTACTCTTCTTTACAGCACTGCACTTCTTCTTCCTTTTCGTTTCCCCTACAACTGCAACCCTACTCTCCTTCCCCTTTTCCAACAACTCAAGCTTTTCCGCCAGCATCTGCCGTCCGATTTTGCGATTCTGCGTACGAGAACGGGTGGCCTGAATCTTGAGGACCATACCTGTTGGAATATGTTTTAACTGAACTGCGGAGGAAGTTTTGTTCTGTGAAGTCATGAGTTGTGGTTCCAGGTTGAGGATTGGGTGAAAGACGAGCTTACGATTTTCTGACCTCCCGGCCCGCTACCATGCAAGAATACCTCTGTAAAATCGGCTTCATTTACGGGCGGTGGACGATCAGGCATCTTTTTCTTCCATAATGGTATTGTGCTGCAGATGCCGCGTTTTCTTATCGAGCCTGAATTTACAGCAATAGCATTTTCAAGGCTAGCGCCTTTGTGGACCATTGAAAGCAATCCTCGTAACATCGTACATCTTGTCAATTTCCTGACTGCCATGAGAATATGAAATGAAATTCGTAGTCGCAAACTATTGTCACCTCATTGGAGGTTGGAACCCGTTCGCATTGATTAGGATAGTGAGTGTGGTTAGATTAGGAAGGGTTTATCATTTATCAACAACCCCCCGGAAATTTGATCTTCAGGTACGTACCCAAACGAAAGCTCCCGTCTCCGACCTCCCCTCCCTCCCCTTCTCATCAATTTCCCTCTTTGTCCATTTTCATATCGCATTTTTTTGTGTATACTTGACCCAATCACTCCGAATTCTCGAGTCCTGGAGAGTACTGCCATTTTTATCACTGAACACGATCGACGAAGCCCGCGGTTGTACCCACGAGAACAGAGGCATTTACGATAAGGGGCAACAATGTCTATGTTCGCATCTACATTTCGTTGGCTACAGAGGAAGAGATATCAATATGAGGTACATGCACTCGTTGAAATCCAAGCAGGATCCATTCTGATATACCTGAGCAGGTCACATTCTCATTATACATGTTGACCCCCACGGAGAAATTTATATTCAGTATGTTTTTTTCAAACTCCCGGCTGGCGACATTATATTTCTCTTCATTGATTGCACCCATTCTCCTCCTTTGCCTGATTTTCATTTAGAAGGCACATGGCTAATACCTTGTTCCGCAGATTCGTTTCTCTTCCTCTTCTTTAGCATGATCATCATTGCCATGACACTTTACCTTCCACAACACATCACATTTCTCACCAATCGTGCCTGGTTTTACTATAACGGCGATGAATCTGCCAAGTATGCTCTTACATCTGCGAGTCCGGTATCAGTAGATGCGATGGTAAAGGAAACACTTGCGCAGGCTGCTGCGGTTAGCGCTGGGAAGGAACTATGATTCAGCACTTTCGCGAATAGTCATAAGTCGAGCATGGAGGGCGTGTATCAACACCCACGTTGGGAGGCGAGGAATCAGGAATCTGGGTGGTGACGACTGGATTAATATAATTTCAAGCAGGAGTTACTGATTACGACGGGATAAAGCAGATGAATATACACCTATGCATTGTTGTAATATTTGTTTATAAGACGGGCATGGAATTTGAATAGATGTTTTGACTTGGGCATTGTTCATGCATATTTTGGTACTGGTAGTCCATGGGGTTGTGTTGTGAAGCAGTGTGCTGCGTTGCTCTTGGGTCGGATCTGCCTAGTATATATTATGTAGCATTTTGTCTGGCAGCCATGAGGTGCTTCACGGTGTTATACATCAACTCTCCAACCCCAAGAAAACCCTTGCCCTCCAAATATCTCAAAATACCCAGTCGATAGTCCTGCCATGATATGGACAATCCGCCGTCGTTTTCAAGCTTCTTCAATGAAATCTGTGTTACCGGTCCGGCGTGTCTTACAACTATTCCATCCTCGGCCTGATCTTCTAATTCCCTCACATATGTGATAGCAACATGGCACAATGCTGGCGAAAACGAAATACTAAATAGGGAATTCAGTGCAAGGGATGTTTCTAGCTTGGAAATATAAGGGCTTAAATTTGCCATGGTCAACTCGGGAAGTAGGCAGCCAAGTGCGTTTACATCTGTTGTGTAAAAGGCCCGTGATCTCCACAAACAATTGCAGATGTCCATCAGAAACCCGTTGAAATGATTGACATATTCTTTGGGATATGACTGATTGCTCGATACAGCCGAACCCGTGCGTGGGGCCATGGCCACTTCGAAAGCTCTTTTATACAGGGCGAGAATGTTGAAGATGCGGGCGATGATCGACAAATTAGAGCTGAAGTAAAGCGTATAAACGAGTTGAGCGGACGGAGTGGCTATCCGAACTTTTGATGTCAGAGTTGGATGAGATATCAGTGATGCGTTTACTTCGTAAAAATCAAGGATCTTTGAGCAAGTGGAAACGCTCGAAGACTGTTGCAGTATTGCAACAGTCAGCTCATTGACGTGACTTATGAGCGCGGCTATATCTGTGCCGTTGTTTGACAGGGTTGAAGTTTGTAAGAGTAGGCCGAGCGTCCATTGGTTGAGCAAGGCTTTGTAGAATTCGAGTAGTGTAAGCTGCGACTCGTGGGTGCCATCTATAACTGCATCTTCAAGTAGGCAAAAGACTGTTTGGTAGAGCTCTGCTGCTTGATTAGTCTTGTACATGTCAAACAGTTGAAAGTATACCATCAAAAGAACCAATAAGTGTATAACTTAACAGCTCCAGAATCAGATCACGGTTTGTTGTACCATTCCAACAAGGTAGCAATGATTTGAAATAGGAAAAGCATGCCGAAGGTAATGCCTATCATTTCTCAGTAAAGCGAACCAGCATATTGGACCTTGACCGACCTTAGTAGATCTAGTATACCGTAGAATAACTTTGAGCATGTCTGATATCTGCGTCTGGGAGGATTGACTATTTTCTAGTTGATCCTCGAAAAAGGCTAGAAGCCAATAATCTATACGTTTTAGCGTAGCCTCAGAGGATCTGAGATGCAGCAGCTTCTGGAGCAAGGGGTCATTAATAGCAGCCACTAGTTGGTTTGGTAGCTCAATCTTCTCCAGGTTCTGGACAAATTCATCCACTTCCTCAACTTCCTCTAATGTAAATGGAGTCTTATAATTGATTAGAAACGCATGATGATCCCAGAAAAACGAGCACTTACATCCTGAGCATACGAAGTATGTACTTCAGGTAGAACCCCATGTTTCCTCTCCTTGACAGACTTTCGTGACACGCGGAAATTTTGAGGCGTAGGGACAAGCTCGTCTTCTATTCTCCTAAGATGATCTTCTTGGATCTCGCCAAGCCTAGCTCGCCATTCACGATTCGGATGCTGAATTTTTTAGTACATGAATCATGAACAAGGAGTTAGTGGAGACTTACCGTGAACACTGAAGCCCTTCCGGAGGTCGCATCACCTACAATAACCTCCGGATAGTAATCTTTATACACCCTCAAAAGTCCTACCAGAACCGGATCATGACCCGCCTTCCTCGTCCATTGCATTCTTGGTGGGAGTTAGCAGAGCTCCTCATATAATCTTGCTCCAACGTACAAGCATTGTATCCTAAATGGTCGAACATGTTTTCGGCGCGTGATGAGGGACAGCACGTGACATAATTGTGACCTGCCAACGTTAGCTGCGAGGCTGAGGCCTTTGGCATGAGTAGGAACTTGAAAGTACCTGAGGGCAATAGTATCGAGTAGATTGAAAAGTACAGCATAGAGTTGTGACAAAACCTTTTGATTCTCCAAAACATCGTAGACTAGGACTATCCATTTGAGCAACGCCGCCTGAGCTGCATAAGAAGGTTTGGCTTGTCCATGACCCAGACTTCCCACTACTTTGATGACGATTGCACCTGTAACCTTGCTGGTCGGATAGAGATGCCTGATCAAACTTCCAATACTCCCTTGATCAAGCTCGTTAGGAAGAGTGATAATGTCAATAAGCTTCTCCAGCGACGCGTTAGATAATCCCTCTTCATATGCTCTTGAGCATAACCTTTCCACGTGTCTTGAAATCTTCACCGATCGTTGTTTTGCAGGAATACGTGAAGCTATACAAATAGTCAGTATTTATTGGTTGTCATAATTTCGATGGTAGAGAGCGGTTGTGGTCGCGTAAAGACGCGTTTATATTCCATTCCCTCACTTACCATTCTCTAAATCATCGAGAATATCATCGACGTTCTGTTCATCCCCAAAAGGACTATCCATAGTCATTCAGTTCTTGAGTTGATCTCTTGTTATTGTGCTGTATTGTAATGGTAGGTATGATTGTTTTGTGGAATTTTGATGTAGTTATTCAGAAGCATAAATGTTACATAGGTATCTTTGATGTTCTTGATATTTGATTGGGGGAATCAAGACAAGACGGCATCATATCATCAACATCATTAAATTATCCACAGTAGCTATCTAGGTACTTCTTAGAGCCCATCAAACTTAAGAACATCTATGGTAAACTCATATTCAATCCTCATTGAAAAGTGAATCAGTCTGTGAAGTTTAGTATTTAATTGGTTAGGGAAAGAATCAAACACAGAATGGCATTCATGTACTCTAAAATACCTAAATAGGTATATATACTTTTCCTTATATGTTAAACTTGACCAAAATATACATATAATATAATATTCTCTTTGGTCTAACCAAGACATTTTGAAATGGATCAATACACTTATAACTCAAACAATGAATTGGATCCAAATACTTAATCCACCGCAAAAACCGAAGACAGCACATCCCTGACGACTCCTTCCGCGTTTACATTCAATGACCGCCCCAACCTCAAAACTGCCACTCGTTCGCATTCTACGCTTCTCTTCCGCATACCTTTGGATAACAACAATCGGAAAGATTCAGCAGATGGATATCCCAGGATGTCTTTTGTGCTATCTCAATGATGCCGTTGACATTGCACTGTCGAGCCTGTGTATCTAGGCAAATCTTATCCCAACCTAGCCATCGCCACAATGTACACGACACCTATTGATAATGGGCGAGACTTCTCTACCATATGATCTTCGGGCTCCAAGTCTCCCACGATATATTGTTGTTATTACCTTGCATCGGATGTGAAGTCACTTCTCTTTGCTGGGTAAGCATACCATGTACTCGGGATGGCTTCGCATGGGTTTGATCAAGAAGAATCCTTCTGCTGCCATGCAAGGGAACGACTTGGCCGGGAAAGCGCGCCATCTGAACATACAAATTGCCAGCGAACGGGCGTGCTCTCTGGCTGTTGATAAATTGCAATCTGCAGCTCCGCCCTGGTCCAGGGGTTGATTGAGAGTCATGTGTTGGCGTTGTACAGAATCGCTCCTCCGGAATGCCCGCAAGAAGCAGTAGACGCAATGCAGATCTCGAGCGAAGCTTCTTCGATGCGCGCATATTACAAAATATAACTTGTGAGCAAATGGTTCCTGGCGTGAACCTGCACTGATGTCTTGTCCCAGACCTCGTTTGTCATTCTTGACTTTTCTGGATGGTACGGCCGGATAGACATCTGAAGTATAGATCAGATCTATTACATTATACATCATGAAGAACCTTGAACTTGTCGGGCTTGGCTTTGTCCCTGCCTGCGGGTGATAGAAAAAGTTCAGATAATCCGGCCAATCGTCACTTTGGGCGAGAATACGCGATCGAATGTTCAATTTCAAATTGGAAACTGGATTTCATTGTTTTAGCAATTTTGATGTATACTATTCCAATGCTCATGTTCCAGCCGCACGCCGAAATGGCAATGTCTGCTTGTATGAAATCGGCTGGCTTTTCTGGACTTTTGCTGACTTACCAGGTGATTTACCCTATTTAACATGCACGATGCAGGCATACAAGCCCTCATCACGCACTATCTGTTAATCCATTACTAAGGCTCCATGGCGCATATTTTATACCTATGGAACCTTATACGAAAACAACTCAATATTCTTCGGCATCTCAACCTTTGAGAGAGGTTTGGTCTCAATTAAAGGAGAAGAATTTTGCAATTCCTCAATAGACTCGGATTGTTAAAGTATTTAATAGAATCCTAGGGGGGCGGGGGGGGAGGAGGGGTGAATACTTATTGCTCTGCCGCAGTGGTTGTGCGTTCCTCAAAACTCTGGGTGCGGCTGCTGCTTTCGTTGCCTCTTCTTGTGCGATACAAAAGGGTAAACCTTGCTAGTTGTTCCAAAGCTTCTATAGTATTAACAGGAGTACTGGTTTGATACCTCATTGGGAATTAAAAGTCCCATTTTGGCGCTCCAATGAAGCAACCTATCATAGTGTGGTTCAACTCTTCAGCCCAGCGCAGATTATCAACTGCAAACCCGTATCTGGACTGGTGCGTTGCCGCCGCCCCTTGCAAAAAAAAAGTATGTGTGGGTTGCACGATTGCACATACATTTAATCATCCTATGACATTCTTCCTACCCTCGATCGACTCCTCCAACAGGGTAAAAATTCACACGCTTTCAGAAGCCTTTGGCAGCAATCTAATTCGACCGGAGCAAATAGAACAGTGTTACAGTTGTATTTATGTAAAAGTGGAAAACGGTGCTTGAGCTTTAAACATAAGCGAAAATCGAGGGATGTCAAGCAAGCCACGGAACTTATAGACTGAGCAACCATGCTGTCGGTACAATCTTTTAGACGGCCTCTTCTCTAGTCTTTGACCGTTACAATCTTGGGAATTTTGAGGTAGTTTTGACACGCCAACAAAAGATTAGAATGTTGATTCAGAACAGTTCTCAGTTATGTCCTCCCATGCGGCATCAGGAAATAACAACTACGAGGATCCAATGTATACATCCTCATTTAGTTACAATGAATTCTCTGACTGTACTTAGGAATGTTGACGAAGAATCCGTTTCTACCTCATCGGATATATCAGAAGAACAGTTAAATGAAGGGGATGTCTCGGCTACAATATTGAGAGACTCGGCGGATTCTTTGACAAGATTTCGATCGCTCCGTGAATCAGATGTCCTCGTACTTCTTACTCCGGTGGTCACACCGGTCAGTCAAGAAGTCACAGATACTAGCGATCCTTTCGAGTGCCTCGGTCGCTCTTTGGCTAAGAGACACAAAAAAGTCAGGCATATTCCCTATACACAAAGGTAAGTGATACATCTCACTTGCCGAGGCTGAAACTCATTGACACAGGAATGGCATTACTTCTACTCATCTGGGTTTCATAAAGAGAAGCCATGTAATTATCCTTTGTTTCGTGGATCGACCCGGGCATCAGCTTCAGCTCGAATTTGCAGAAATTCTCTTTGCCGTCAGTGACCACAAGCCCTGGTATGCTCAATCTATTCATTTATGTTGCAGTCCTTAATGCCCAGTTTTGCCCGGATATTTGCTCTTCTGCGTTTTCTCTATTTGTCCATACAGCTTTATTCTCTCATTTACCTCGGAAAGAGTTTCTTGATAAAATATGGAATTACTGACATCCAAACGTTACAGTCTCATTATGATATGCGGTGATCAGACAATTATGCAAGATTCGATCCCCTTCCCCACAGTCATCCTAACTTCCGGATACACCGCAGAAGAGATGGAAGCCGCAGCTGCAGTGATCTTCGGAGAGCGTCAACCCAATCCTAAAGTAGGACTAACTAGTTCGGCACCCGGCAGGACGGAGCCGATACGACCTAAACTTTGGGCTGTTGACGAATGGGATGAAACCAAGGACGTATCGAGTTTTCTCAAACTGTGGACTGATAACTTTGACGTCCGGTTTTCCATCGACCTTGAGGCTTTCGCGTCTCTTCTTCGCCGCATAGGTTACGCAAAACATTATGTGGTTCGTGATCCCAGAGGTGGCGAAGTCCTAGGCTTTTGTGCTACATACCTTTCATACGTTGATCAAGAAGGCGAGAGACTTATTGCATCATTGGCAATACTTGTGGTTGAAAAGACATCTCGACGGCAAGGAATCGGTCTTAGTCTCCATAATCATGCTATGAGACAATTTAGAAGCACACGAGGGGTTATCCGTCTTCAACTGGGGAGTACTTTTCCGAGACTCTTGTATGGCCCACTTCGTTCTCCTTCTCCGGATTTGACTGAGAATGACGAGTGGTTTCGCAGAAGGGGCTGGACACTCAACAAGGAGTCACAAGGACAGGGCCAATCTGTGTATGATTTGATTCTGGATTTTACAAAATGGACTTATCGGCCGAGTCAACAGCAAGAAGGCTTTAAGTATCGACAGAGTGTACAAGAAGATATGGACAAAGTTCTTCGTTTGGTTGAAGACGCATCTATCAAACAAGGCAATATGGGATGGTTCGATCAATACTTTGCTCTGAGTAACGGGCCCAACGTGAAGGACATTGTATTATGTCTGGAGGGAGATCAAATTATTGCAATGGCGCTCACATACACTCCATCTTGTGGCAGCTCAATATCTTCTAATTTGCCGTGGGCAGGGCGGATTGGCCATGATGTTGGTGGAGTTACATGTTTATGTGTTTCTCGTGGGTAGTCCAAGCTGCTTCATTGCGACAATTCTCTCGATACTAATGAACTTCAAAGCACAAATAAAAGAGCCAATAGGTCCTGAACTACTGAATGCTTGTGTTCAAAAATTATACCAGCAAGGGATGAGGAGAATGTTTTTCGATGGCGTAGCAAATGGCGTGGATGAACTAAAACAACTAGGTGAGCCCCATTTTAGTCTACGTAGCTGAAAATTGACTGATCTTTCAGGGTTTGAGGAGTGGGCAAACTACCGCGATGTTTGGAAGGACACTTAGGTAATGATCTCTGTTACAAGACATGGCATTTTCGATTTCACTTCATTTGTTAGCGCTAACTGTTCACAGAGGCTGCCACCTGGAAAGGGTATTTTCCACAATGAGGACCTTGCGGATTGTATGATACAACTGAGGATTTGAAAAATATCAGGCCAAAATATATCAAGAATAGCATGGCCCGTATGCAGCTCCATGTTACAGTACGCATAATCCATAACATCATATATCCGATACATTAGGCATGAAGAATGCTACTAGCATGGACCTGCATTTGAAGCGGACTACTGGGTGATGGGCGAGGGTTCGGATAAACTACAGTATCCAGGAACCGTTTATTTTAACGATCAAAGCGAATTTATTACTGCGGATAAGAATCTATCCATACATACTACAACGGAGGCAGGACAACAACATGATAGAAAGCAGAACAATGCTTATATGTTAACTAATCAAGAAGCTCTAAGTTTCTGATCCTCAAAGATACTCTATGCACTTGATATTCTAATAGTCACTCAATCAAATCCCACATTAGTCATGGTGGATTGGTGGGTTTACAACTCGGTCCCAGCACTTGTTGTAACATGGTCAAAGTTGTAACCAGAATCTCCTCACGGAGTCTTAGACAAAATACAGGTCACGCAGCATCAGTGCTTGTAATCTTCGATCTAAAGTTGAGACCACATGAACGAGGTCATCTCAATGTCGTACAAGAACCCGGAACCCAACAGTGTGACGGTGTCACGACGCCATGTCTGCGTGATACTCCCGCTATAGCAGCTGTGGTATATATATCAAACGCCCTGTACCACCTGCCGAGCCACGTCCGACACAAGAATACTCACTTGTACAATTAGCAAACGCGCATCTGTTGGACTAGTTCCGCTGTATCTACTGCTGCCTGACGGCTACGAGATCCCAACATAGAGCCTTCTGGATTTGAACAGCTGCATTAAATGCGGCGTAAATTCTCTTGACCGACATTATACGGTCTCAGCTTCTCTTCTAGATCTCGGATGTGGCGTATACTTCTGGCACTTGTGACAATTCGCTGTGCCTGCCGAGCATAAGAAAAACGATACATGATTGCATGCCGGGTAGCGTGAGTAGATATTCCGGCTTGCCACATACACGCAATGAACTCTGCGCCATCGAAATAAACCTTACGCCGCGAAACGTCAATTCAGGCTTTTAGCCCGACGTCGCTAACATTTCTTCGGTGCTGTCTGTGAATGTTTGCATGCACTATTTTCATGCGTCGTTGGAATAGCTTTTCGTGGCAGTGGATCACATTTCGAGAAAAATCTTCGTGTCAGCTCTCACTTGCCGGCCACTCACGACAATCCCTCGGTGGGGCTGTCGCAGGGGCATATTTTATTTTGGCCCCCCCCCCCCATGTCATTAGACACAACGCTACTGTACTGTACAACAAGCATGAGTTGTGGTTCGTTTTTCGCTCTTTTCAGGGATTTAAGCTGCAAGTTGCAAAAGTGATGATCTACTAAGGGGGCCCAAGTTGAAGTGTAGAAGTGTAGAAGACTTCGAGAAGGTCTGAAATTTGTTAAGAGCTCTCAGGCATGAGCAGTGGGGTGTGTACGATCTCTCTACAATTTGAAGTCAAATTTTTTGGAGACCCTTAATACATCAATCATCATAGCCAGTCTAGATGACAATATGACTGTCTCAGTGATTCCAAATTAGATGTTTGTGAGTTCTTGTCATTGAAATATATATATATGATCACGAGAAAATAAGAGCAAGATAGGAACCTCATGCCATCTGAAAAAGATAGAGCAGATTTCGTCGGCTAAATATCCAAGCAACACACTCATTCGGATTCTATATTATCGCAAAATTGGCCTTCTCTGACACAACACAGTTTAAAGGCGGCAGATGGAATATTAATCGCTTTAATTTGACTCTGACTTTGACTCCCGTCCTCCTTAAAGTTCTCGCTTGTTTAGTGCCCGTTCCACGGTACGGACCGTTAGTCTGTGCGGGTGACAATAGTCTCTGTCCTTGTATTGGAACACGGACCACTCTCTGTATATTTCTTCAATTTCTCTTCATTACCCTTTATGTTTCTCAAGTTATATTAACTCGTGCTCTCAGTTGTCAGTTCGAATCACTTCCAAAAATTCAAAAGCCTTCCCTCTTCTGATCTCACTTACACTCAGTACCACTGTATCGGGTTCTCTCTTCTCATTTGATTCTTTTCCGGTTGCCCAAATCCACACTATAGTAATGTGCCAGTTCTCCGTGAATCCATTCCTGCCCTTGTCAAATCTCCATAATACTTCATCACCACTCACAATTCCCCGCTTCAATGTAATATTCTTCCTTGCTGGCCCGCCAAAGCATCCTGCATCTAACTTCCTCCTAAAGTGTCACTCCGTTTTCATTGGATTACCCAATCATCTTAATCATATTCTGGATAGGTATGAAGAGAAATCATTCATCTCTTTCATAGTGCCCACTTTCAGTCACAATTTAGCACCACGAGTAGCTAGCCCACCCATTTCAACAATAGAATGGTATTAAAATATAGTTTATAGATGGCTTTCCACATTAGCCATATTCTATGTCTCACAGGTATCTGTCAAGTTCTTCTTGTATATTGATTGAGTTCATATTAAGGTGCCGTTCGGTGTCCAGCTCAAATGTTATTATAAATCCTTTTATAAATCAAGAGATCTGTAAATTTGTATCCACCTTCAAAGTCACTATTTAGTATTCAGTTGATAGAATATAATCCTATTTAAGTATTAACTTCGTAAGTAGGCTAGACAAGTAAATTATTTTCAAATTCTATAATCAAGAATTAACTTAAAGCTTACGAAGATATAGTTTAAAGAGTTGTTTTATCTATATAGGAACTTATAATATAGCTAGCTGATTTTTGGATTTTTGTAAATTTATCAAAATAAAGGATTTGAAAGAGTCTCAACTTCACTTAATTATAGTTTCATTAATAATGATAATGAATTAATTTTTGAGAATTTGGTGATAGATAATTATGATTATTAGTTTTCAATATATCATATATATTAATCAATTAACCAAAGATTCAAAACTAAAATGTTTTCAAACCCTTTGTTTTTGATAATTAAACGAATAATTTCACTTTTGTGATTATTCGAAAGAATATTATTCCAATATATATTATTTAATAGCATTTTCCAGGAATCTTATTCAAATCTTGTATAAAATTTGAATATTGAAGAGACACTCTTTTGTGAGCTAATGAATGATTTGGCGAGCTTGCTCGCTTGTTTTTGATCAGGTTACCCAATTCGTGAAACGGACATTCCGAATGATCCGAATAACTGCACTGCAGATTCGATGCTGATCTCTATTTCGGATGTACTAGGGGATTCCAATGTTTGATATAGATTAGATATTTCAAATATGAGCCACTCCCTAATGATTCACCATCCTGCAAATCTAAACTGAGCTCAAGCCCGGTCGAATTAGCGGGGCTCTTATTACCATCTCAAAGCTCAAACTACTCCTCTTGATCAAGTTTCAGGTCTCTCACCAGTGTGTAGATCGAATATGAGTGCTTGTATTCTCGGGATGTATGGTTGCGGTACTGCCGAAATGAAGATTTTCGTTTGCTCCACTATTTTGCCATTCTATCCGCATCGTCGGTTGTGACGTAAACTGGATTGATTATTGTTTTGTTCATTGTGGTAGTATAATTACTTCACCCATAACAGTCTCGACAGAGGCACGCCAATTTGGCTATACCATTAGTGGAACAAATCCGTTAGAATGTTTAGTTGTTCATGCTCTCCTACTATAGATTGAGTACTGCGCCTGGCATTCCTTATTGTGTTCGGTATCTTGAATGCTTGGTGGTTTGATTTAAGATTATTGGTGTGTTATTTTGAGATAGAAATGGCTGAGGGTATGGATTGAAAAGAGAACTGGCACTCAGAGGTCACGTTTAGAGGCGATCCAATGTTGGAAGCTAAAACAGATAATGAGAGGGTGAATTCTTAGAGGGGCTGCTGGGTATAATCATTAATGTCCAACAGTTATTTGAACATATACCATGATTGTTTAGTTGAGTGTTATATTGATCAGTTGAGGGAGCTCGGATTGGATTGGTACAATTGGGCAGTATCAAGATTGAGAAAGAAATTGGTAGATAGGCTTTTGTTGCATATCCCTTCAGTTTTTGGGTCAAATAAAGGCGTTGGATATGTAATATTTCCACCTTATGTCTTGAAGACTTCTCCCCTGTAGATTATCTTTGTACTCAGTAATGTCTGATGGGATATTGAAAGGGGTATAAGTATACTCATTTCATCCAGAATGTTCCCCCTGATTCATAGCCCAATTCAATCTACCATGCTAGACTATGGCATTCAATAGCTACCGCAAAGACATGATGTGCGGTTTGTTTGTGCCTGTAATATATCATGTACAATATGCGCTTTTAAACATTGAAGAGTCCCATCTAGTTAGTCGCTTCGTCCGGAGATTCTCATTCTTCAAGATGTATTTCAACATTCAATTCTGACTCTCAAGTTTGTGGCCGGAGTTTCTTGACCATGCTGCTTGTATCATCTATCTCTATAGGTTTCTTTGATTCGGTTGATATTTCCTTCTTTCTGAGTGCATATGAGAGCGCCAGGACTTACTTACTCATGGCATTCGGTAACCTTTAGCTGCGTCTTAAGGGTTTTATCAAGCAGGAGATTTGCGCGGATGGATTCAAGCCCAACGAATGACAACCAAGAAGTGTAGAAACCGAGCTCTTATTCAACATCTGGAACGCCTAGATGATTTTGCCCAATAGATTGAACACCCAATTCTAAACCCAAAGACTTATCCTCATTTCCAAGCCCGTCCTTTCCATTCTATTGGCCTCGAGACCCCCTCAGACTCTACCTCTCAAATACCTTGGTTCTTTCCCATCGAAGACTAACATCATGATATAGATCCATAGTAACTACCTAGACACAACGACAATACCTCTAAGCTCCTTACTTGGCGATACTATATAATTCTAAGTCAACTTACAAATCTCTCACACCATATTCTCTACCACCTATAGAGATATATATCACCTCAACTGATTTCCTCACCTAGGCTCACTATAACTCAATAATTCGAACCCCCTGTTTCTCTTTCTAGTATACCAAGACCCTCTACATTCCTACATCCATCCACTTTCCATATTTTATTTACCTACCTTCAGTATACAACCAAACTCGTATACAACCCTCACAATGCTACACAGTACTCAACTCAAATCCAACTATCATACATCACATCTGTCGCAGCTGTAGAAATATAGGAGAAATAAATAAATCCCTTCTACTCGGGTATTGAGACCAGGGTTGAAAAGGAAAGGAAAGAAAAGAAAAAGATAAGTCTTGTGTCGGAGTTGAAGTTGAGAATGAGATGGTAGGCTGGTGGGCTGGTGGGCTGGGAATAGAAGAATGAAATGGGAGTATATATATACAGGAAAGAGATATATTAATTTGTTGATTTGAAAGAAGGAATTGGGATGTCGAAGGGGAAGTAATGAGTGTATGGTATGCGATAAATAGGCGGTAGATAGTAATTGGATTTGCTAAGGATAAAAATCAGGAATCTAGTTGGACACATGATATATTGAGAATATTAGAAAAGAAAGTGCTAGTAGATAGTGGAGAAAGATCACAATATAACATTAGCAGAGTATCAAGGAAAGCAGATAGTATGCGATATGGCTGTTGATCCGGAGTTTTCTTTTCTAGATATACAGATCATTTCAGAGATTGAATCTAGATGAAAGAATCAATACAGTATATTCAAAAAATTTATGATTGTTTAGACATCAAAACTTTGATCCCTAAAAGCATAAAAAGAGGTTTTGGTAAAAGAACTGAGAAGAAATTGCTGTCTTGCGAATAATAAGCAGGAGAAAGAAGAAAGGAGCTTGTGTGCGAAGCTATACCTTTATTTTATCATTCATTATCTGTATCTAGATATCATCCGTCGTTATCACCTTCACCACCTTCACCAGCATCGTCATCGTCATCGTCTCTGTCGCAACCCTCCATCACCACCCACGACCTCAACCCATCTCTCCACCTCCCCAAAACTTTCCACCAGTACTTGTCCCCAACTCTCCTCCGCACTAATCACCGCATTACCCTCTCTGACCACCACCAAACTCTTCATTCCCCCCTCCTTCGCAGCCATCACCTCCTTAACATTATCACTTAAAAAGAGCCATTCACCCACCTCTCCTAAAGCCCTATTCGCCTTCGCGATTTTCTCATAACTCTCCTTATTCTGTTTTAACCCTGCATTAACCGTATCCCAATACCCACCTTCTGTCTCCACCGCATCATCCCCATGAACCCCATTCCAAATCAGCCCTCTCAAATCTCCTTCGGTTGTATACCTCCACAAAAGTTTCTGCGCCGCCACACTCCCACTACTGTAGATACAAATCTTCGCTCCATCCTCTTCCCACTTCTTCATTGCCGGATATACATCTGGAAAAAGTGGACATCTGAGCTCGCCTGATTCGTAGCCACGGAGCCAGAGATATCCCTGGAGAGATTTGAGATATGGGATCTTGAGATCTTGAGCCATAAGATCGCGGACATGGGAGATTAGTGCTTCAGGGGTGGAGGCGTGTTGGAGTGGGAAGGCGGAGCGGTACGGGAGGAAGGATGGGGAGTCCCATTGGGTGTCGAGGGTTTCTGGGAGGGCGGAGAGGGCGTATGGGAACTGTGGAGTGATTAGTGGTTAGGTTTTTATTATTACATGGATGGGAGATGGTAGTTCGGGAAGATTCATGCCAGATCAACTAATCTGACATACTGGTTAGTACCCAGAGATACATGTATCGCGTATCGGCATGCTCATCGCGGGGTGAAGCCAGTGGCGTATATTTGAGTGGGATCCTGAACCCAAGGGGGTTGGGCGTTTGACAAAACGAAACAGAAGGCTAATTTGGTGGAGAAGATTATTGTTGGGAAACCATTGATGAGCACCTATAGGAGTTTGGTTTTTTCCCGCAAATGATATGAACGCTGATCCGTGCAGGAATTGACCATACGGAATGGTTAAGAACGTGGCAGACGATCATTTGCAGTGATGCCCAGTTCACTCTCCTCGATTTTGATTTGTATATCATGGCACTTGCGATATTCATTCTCCTGACTCTTCAGCATTATTACATTACTATCTGTGATTTGACGATCGCGAAGTAAATAGGGATAAATTTCATCCCCGTCGCCCTCTCAACCAATGGTAGCGGGGTAAAGAAGTAAAAAGAGATAAAGTTGGTAACACGACATCACATCACAGCTCTCACATGACTATGCGCAAATCAAGTTTCCTGCCCCCAAAATACCGCATGCTGTAGCTAACAGAGTACAGCAGTTTTTCCGCAGTTGTGTAAAAGTGTATATCATCGAGGTAGTAGTCGATGATCACAATTGGCACCGTCGAAAGTGGCTGGGAACTACACCAACAAGATAACTACTACTTGTTCCGCGCAAAGCGCATCGCAAAAAGATAGAAAATGAGCATGCAACTCATGACTTCTTGCATAGAGATTTGAATAGCTTGACCAGTAGGAGGACTAGGAGATTTGTTTACCTACCAACACATCCTTGACGAATGAAATCGGACACACTGTACCCTCTGCAGAAGAATTTTTTTATCAGCCTTTCATCATACTTCCATCATTTTATCATGACCATTCCAATTCTAATTCTAACTTCGATTCCAGTTTCTCATCCCACCCACGTGATACATCGTTATCCGAAAAGATTCCCATACCTGGAAAACTCTGCAGACGGATGATATAAATCCAAAGCAGGAACAGTAACCATAAATCTCCGAGTAAAAAGTTTTCAGTCACTCACCGATATCAAGCAATACCACCTTAACTCGTGGGCTTTCCTCCATTTTGTCAAGTCGAGAATCCTTCTAGACTTTTTCCTCGTTTTCCTTCCTCGATACAGTATCAAATTTCAGGCCCGACCGAGGTCAAAGAAGATAGCGGTGAACTTCGCAAGCCTCTTTCGTAATTTGATGGTATGGTAAAGATCTAGACAATGCGTAGATGCGCGTTGGCAATGATCGGCCCTAGACTCCTAGGAATCGCACGTTCCGTTTTTATGCAGAAAGAGAAGAGAAGCGTCAATGTTGGATATAAAGGATGTAATTCGTCAATATAGAAAACTGTCTGTCTGCTTGGTATCCTTAGGCGAAAGCTCCTGCTTAGTACGGTTCGTCAGCCTGTTTATGCAAGATGCAAGCGGCCTACTCTGCAATATATCAATATATATTGGGTTGGGTACATGTAGGTACGCGGAACGTGTTCTGTATTTTGTTGACAATGTTCCGAATTTTCACGATTGTTGATGGCGGTGAAGACATAATGGCCAGCTTACCAACGACCTGCTTGGATTTGATCACATTTCATTCACATTCTGTTGCATACCAAAAGCGACAAAGATTGAATCAAACTTGAGATTCATTCAAAAAACCACCATATATTCCTAGTTTGCATATACCAAAGTGTATGTGCATTGTACAGAGCCTCATTCGTTTCCTGTGATGCATGTACATATATGCGAGATGAGTGAGATGAGACTATAGATTGATTTCTAGAGGTTATTGTAGATACAAGTAGATACGAATTGATATCAGTTGAAGGTCATACATAGATAGTATGAAGAGAATAGGTATATTCCTTTCTCGTATCCAACACTTTCAAGTCTTGAAGGATTTAGATACTCTTCATCGCAATTTGTGGAGGAGGGGAAGGAACGCTTGGACAAACTAGAAATTGTTAATATGTTTTTGATGTGATGTAGCATATTTAGTGGGGGCGTTGAGATAAGAGAGATAAGAGATAGCGATAAGTGTTTTGCTTCTCCATATGCCATATGGGAGGAAATTCTATATTATATTATCTTATATATTCATGATGAGACATGTAATTATCTAGTAACTACCTAATTACTGCTCAATTGTTTCATATGAAGATCCAATCAAAGTTGTTCTCATTTCACGTTGATGAAGTATATCTGAGGGAGAGGAAGATCAGGGTGTTTGCTTTGATGAGGATGATATTCCGAATGAAGTTAAGTTGATGAACGATGTTCTCTAGCTAAGTAGGTATACCGGTAGATAACAGACCGGGAAAGGGTCGGTAAGTCTGGAATGGGAAGGAAGGAATATAAGGGTGTAGGGGAAAGACTCATGATAGGTTTAATGAAGTTGTGCCTTTCGATTAAGGATAATATATTAGTTTGGACACCTTGATGAAACAATTCGTCGTCTTCATGATTCGAAAACTCGAGAGTAAGCAGCCAGTCGAAGGAGCAGCCAACAAGCCAGCAAGTTGAAGGAGCATTAAAGACATCCCAGTTAATCGCTTGTGCGACCCATCACTTTACCCCACGATGACAATAACGATGTTATTAATATAATTGTTGCATCCCCCCTACATATCTACATATATACTCAGGGTAGTTTGGAACCTTGGGAAGAAGATAGGAGGTATGTGTATCAATTATGGAGTAAGTACCGTACAACAGAGCAGCGACAGAGCAGCAGCCGTACATAAGCGCGAGTTTCAAGATCAGTGAGTTCCAAGTGGAAAGATGAAGGAGATCTTCAACCATATCTGTGGATTCTTGAGTCTGCTGATTTGTTTGTAGAGTCATGTTGTCTATCTAGCCTTGAGCAGGTTGAGCAAGTTGAGTAATAATCAGTTGAGTCTTGGGTTTGGTCTCATATAAGGCGGAGAAGTAAAGTAAAACTGTAATCGGGGACCTCCGTAAATATTGAAGGTGTCACCTCTAAATCTAAATCTCCGATGTGAAGATGAATGTGAAAACATGCCACTGCAACAATGATGTTACAGGATGTTGTCTTGTTGCTTCAAATGCTGAGCAAGAATGTCAAAAAATGTCAATCGCCTCCCTTTGTTGAACATGATAGAGATTGAAAGCTATGTAGGAATGTCACTGGATATACGAGTAAGGTTTTTGATAAATGTATACGTGTACATACCATAACATCATACATATCTTCTCATTATCTTTCGCCTCCTCAAATGTCCTCATCCATTTTCTGAATGGCAACAGTGGCCTAATCCTAATATAATTCTTTGTTCTTACAAATGGGTGAATGAGTGGATGGTCGTGGATGGTCACACGACCGTCGGTATCAGAAACCCATTTGAGGCTGGGTAATACTGTTATTACTAAGCTGTTCCAATCAAATCAATCGGAATTATCTGTCCAGAGAGAAAGCCTTCGATCTGTTTCTATTTCTGGTTTCTGTTTCTACTTTTTGCTTTGTCTTTGTATCAAAATTGAGATGTGTCATGAAGACCATTGCGAATTTGGTTATGATTCTTATTTCTTATTAACTTGTTTCGAGCAAATTCCATAGATGAGAGACCCGAATCTGGCGGTGGTCATTTGAAATGCACAAGTAGATACATATCCTTGTAGGTATTTGGAAGCTATTGATCATTCCTTCGAGAATTCTCGCAGCCTTCCAATTCGTCTTTAGAACGAACTTCTACTCGCAGTAATGGAAGAAGCCAAGGCACTCGCCATCATCGCCATTATCGCTATAATCGCATCTAACAAGGGCCAGGTATCTTCCCCAGTCTGAGGGTTTGTAGAGACAGAGAGCGAGCGCCCCCCTCCCTTCCCAAAAGAGGCACAAGCAGAACGCGGTAAAGTCCTCTCTTTCATTGAGATGCTCCCAGATTATTGGTTTAGGTATTTGAAATCGTGTGGGAAGACGACGGTAATGCAATGCAATGCAATGTATGCATGCATTACTTAGGGGGCTTGCATAAAGGTAAAGATTATTTTATTCATGGCCTTTTGGCATTATAGGATTAATGAAGCGGTCTAGTTCCGAAAAGAATCCGATGGAATTAAAGAAAAGCGGCAAGGTATTAGTGATGAAATGTCTAGAATGTTCTCGAAGTGATTGGACATTATCCACCATATCAAACTCCTTTGGTAGTTAGTGGCTAATATTACCCACTGCTGCTCTTATCAAGTAGTTTCCTTTGAATCTCCTTTGAGCTATAATATAATAATCATTACTGGTAAGAGAATAGTGTTGTGTGGGTTTAATAAATGACTGGTTGTCATCTATTAGGAAGGAAGGCATGGCAAGAGGGGAAGAACCAACTTCCTTCCTATCTTTCTTTGTTGATAGATAAATAACTAATATAGATACTAACCCTTTGAAATGTTGATACTGTACAAATCCTTTCCCATCCTCTCCTCTCCTCAACTTCTCTTCATCATCTCCTATCATCGCATATATTGTGTCATTGAAGATTTATTTATTAGTCACTTGAGCGTATTTCTGAATGTAACTGTTATAAAACCGACCTCGATAATAGTTATATTGGCGGCCCATCCCTTTCGGCATCACGCTCAACCATACGGGTATCTATTTCCAACACTAATCCCGTACTTGACACTTGACACACTACCTCGTACAAATTCGTATCGTTCGTACTCATATCAACAAAGAACGATCCGCGACTTCATATAAACAGTTGCCGCGGATTTTTACAGGAAGGACAACAACTTCTTGCAGTACATACGCACACGGGAGAGACACTTGCGTTGGAACTTGGTACAGATCATCCATATACTTACTTAATCACCAATCTTCACGAACCCCACGAATTGATTTAGTACACAACTACGAATTATTCACTCTGTACCGAATTCCGGTACGTACCTTAATTAGGTAGTACCCATCCTCTTAAATCTCTCAACCAATCAATTTTTATTGTTTCGCAGCGTTTACTCTCAAAAAAAAAAAGAGTTGCGTGTCAAATTCATAGCCTTATCCTAGATACCCTTTCCCTTTCACTAGTTACACTCCAATCTGGTTCTAGCCAAGCTTTACCTGGATAATCCCTGGTAACAAGAGGACACTTATCAGACACCTCAACTGGATATCCCTACCCAAAGAGGCCATTCGCTTAGCCTTCCCCTTCGACTCATCCTACTTGCTCTTCTTCGCCTTTCTACCTGCCGACTCAACCACCTCATACCTCATACCTCTTTAACTCCACATATGCGTACGATTATACTGGCTACAATCATCGTCGTTCGCAGTTAACTTCCCTCCTCCCCCTTCCTCTCTCTCTCTACCTCTTCTCTTCTTTCTTTCTTTATACTTTCGACTACCTACCATCCTCAACAAACTTTCTCGACCGAGAATACCCTTTCTCTTTCAACTCATTACCGATCCTCTACTCTCCCTTTCCATCAACGCCCATTCCTTTGAAAAGCTACCACCACCATCACTTGCCTTGTTCTGCGTCACACTGCTTGCTGTCACGGCAACAACCACATTCCTAAACATCCATAAGGCTTCGCAGATCTTGTTGTAATTAATCAACTTCACTGAAAGGTCAACCACATTCTTCCACCTCTTGATCAATCATACTCTCCTCGATTACTTCACAACAACCTCTTATTGTCACCGACCTACAAATTCGAACATTGGCAGAAGAGGAGTCACATCTTCTACTTCCTTGTTCTATCAACACATCAAATCCCAACACATGAATGAGTTCCAGGTCCACATTGAAGCGTTTATCACAATAGCCAACTTGATCACCCTCGATCTGTGATACATACGCCGCCGAAGTCTTCTACTGGCAGATCATTACAATTCCAAGATCTGTGCAAGTCTCTCTTAAATTTCACGTCATTCTATCTCGAAATTGCATAATTGATTAGCTTCAATTGTGTATTGCTTTCTCGGTTCGACCCATCAAATCTACATCACATCCCACACAAGTACGTTAACTCGTACTACTCGAGGAATTTCGAAACCTCAGACACTCGTTCTTTCAACGTCTGACTCCTATGTCAACATAACGAATTTCAACACTTTCCTTGTTTTCCCGGACCTCAAGTCCCTTCTTTGTCCTATCTAACGAACAAATTCACCAAATCTCTTTTGTTAAAGCGTATTCGAAATACCCTCTATGAGCCTCTGAACATCCTACTTCTACGATCCGGAGTTTATTCACCAGTTATATTTTTTCTTTTTCGGCGGTTGGAATACATTTATATAGCGTTGCCAGTTTGTTCTTATTGCCCATACACACCTTTTATCGCCTTGCTTTTCTCAGATCGAACTACAACCTCCTTTCTTCACTTCAATATTCGACAACCATCAAGAGCATAGCTCTCCTTGTGTGCCATCATCAACTTTGTTTAGAGAAGACAAAAGCTTTTACGGATTCCACCTTGTATCTCTCTCGATTCTTTACCTCTCAGGCCCCAAAAACATTTCGGTTGTACCAGTATTCAAAGCTGCATTTTTGTTTTTAAGTTTATTCATTTAATTTGCACACTTCACTCACATTCAAACTTCATACTTCTTTTTTCACCATCACCACTTCCCTATTTCAACCCTTCATTACAACAATGGAGTGCTTGAGAGAGAAGTTTTACGACGGTGTCGTCCTTGATGGACGTTTTGAAACGATATCCCCCCTCAACCATGGCTCATTCGGAATGGTTTTCATGGCCAAGGACCTAATTACCAACGAAATCGTTGCTATCAAGTGCTTGACCAAGAAATCCGCCACTTTGCCGGATGCAGACTCAGCATTTGCCATCGATGAGCACTCCGAGGAGCTATCGTGCCATGCTCGACTTGGCTCCCACCCAAACATTGTCAACCTCATCCACTCTTTCGAGACCGACGCCCATGTGTATATTGTTTTAGAGTTTTGCTCCAGAGGTGATCTTTACGAAGCTATTCGAACTGGCACTGGCCCACTCGAAACAGAACATGTCCGATCATTTATGTTACAACTTATCGATGCTGTTGCATACATCCACAGGAAGGGTATGTATCATCGTGACATCAAGCCTGAAAACATATTTCTCACTCAATCCGGAGAGATGAAGCTTGGTGACTTCGGCCTTGCTACTTCGGAGAAGTGGTCATACGAAACTACCGTCGGAAGTGACCGCTATATGTCTCCAGAACAATACGACTCTGCTGGCGCGGGATACTCCCCAGAGCAAGCCGATGTCTGGGCTATTGGCATCTGTCTTTTGAACATCTTGTTCTCTCGCAATCCGTTTTCAACACCTACAGAGTCCGATCCCCTTTTCCTTGACTTCACTCGAGACAAGCAATCACTCTTCGATGTCTTCCCAACAATGTCGCAAGATACCTACGAAGTCATTACTCAATGCATGAGTCTCGACCCCCGAAAGCGGTCACTTGCTGGTGCTCGTGAGGCTATCGAACGTGTCCTGAGCTTTACAACATTCGATGAGTTTGCCGATGACTTCAGCTCTGCTGATCGTCGTGGCATTCCCAGCTCAGACCGTGAGCCATTGCGTACACCTTCCATCCAAAGTCCTCAACTCGACGCGGGCGCCTCCTTCCCCTGGGCTAAGGCATTGCATGCTGGTCCACCTCAACATTTTCGCCAACTTTCTGCCATTCTCGACGAGGATTATGACTCAGAGGACCTTTTCCCTGGCTCCGAAGCCAGTAACAAAGATTGGTTCTCTATTGGAGAGCAAACCCCTTCAATGGAATCTATCCTTGATTCTTCCCTTGGAACTTCGATGCAATCTCTAGCCATCCGCCGTCATATGAAGTATGGTCCTCCAAAGGCCAGTCTTACTCCCATCTCTGGATCCCTACCAATTGCCATGGCAAAGCCAATACCATTGCCATCTATGGCATCAGTCTTCGGCAAGAAAGACATGGTATCCAAGAGTTGGGGTGACCTTTGGGACGAAGAAATGGAAGAGGAGGAAGAACTCGACAGCCAACTCAGAGCACGCCAAATGGCCAACTCCCGAACTTGGAGCCATGAGAGCAAGACCGATGACCATAAGACTCGTAGATCTCCATTGGAACCTCACAGCTCTTCGTTCATTAACATTCCAAGAGTAGCAGCTGGTTGTACAGCAGCCAACGATATTGATGATGATTTGATGGCCGATGGTTTCTTCTTCCATGACGCACCTGATCATCAAGACTCATCAACTCGTTATTCACCACCCTCAAAGAGAACCGCCTTTGACAAGTGGTCTGCGCTTGGAGATCGTAGAAGAGCATATCCAGGAGCGTCAGATTCTGAAAGATCTATTGATACGTGGAAGACTCAAAATACTCCACGTCGAAACGTTGGATTAGGCTTCACTGGTTTTGGAGCCGGTGCCTGGGATACTAAATCTAATATTGTTATTAAAGATAAGGGCAGAGACTGTCCATGGGCGCGGACTAAGGCCCGAGATCACCATCACCAGGAGAAGAGGAAGGACAAGCTGTCGGATCTCGGTGATTTGGAGTGGGTTGGAGGTTGGCATGACCTCCACTTGTAGTCGTATTCTTTAGCCTTGTTTTATATTTTTCTCTCGAAAATACTACTCACACACCTGCTTATGGAGGATCGAACATCATGGAAGGAGCTTTGTTCTTGAATATACCAACAATTTTATCACCATAGGAACGGAGAGGATGTGTCGATATTGGCCTTTGGTGGGATAGCCGGTGGAAAGAGAGAGAGAGAGACTAAGAAAGGATTCTAGATAGGACTCGCTTTTCTGGTGGATTAGATAGATTATCATCTCGAAGACATTCGTTGACGGGATGGATGGCTTGATAAATACCAGACAATTACCCACTCTATATTTCGTTATTTCTTTGATGACGTGACTTGATTTGATTTGATTTTGGTGGTGGATGGTGGATGGAGGAATGGATGCAAAGGTATTTGTTGGTGTGTATATGTGTAAGTACGATGTGGCATGCGGTAGTTGGATTTCGAATGGGCGAGGGATGTCATCATAGGCTGGCTGGTAGGTACTCTTCTCTTGGTTTGATGCGGCGTGGTTGGATGGAGTTTGTACTGTCGTTACATAGGCTTGGTGGGAAATAGTATGTATGGATTAGAACGAGGAACTGCTGCTGGTAGTGGGGGTGATGGCGGTAGTGTGGTAGTGGTGATGAAGAGAGTGAGAACGTGGATGAAAGCAATAGCAAGAAGGATGCGGAGGATGTAGGCGAGAAGAATGGAGAGAATGTAGGCGAGGTGAATAAGGGTGGATGCGAGTGAGTGATGATGACGGGTGGAATGTAATGGAATTGGGTGGGTGATATTCGTCATGATGAATTGATGAAATGATGAAATGAGAAGATACAGCGATATGACGTACTGTGTATAAGAGTACTGTGTATAAGAGAGAAGAGGAACAGAACAAGTGTTCATTCAAGGCAGGAAAGAAGTTACCACCAGTGTTACCAATACAGGTAGGTAGGTAGGTAGATGATGTATGAAATCGAATTGTAGAATGCAAAAGACAAAAGATAAGACAGACTCGGAATATGAGGTGGGTGGTGTACGTTGTCTGTCCTTTTACTTTTTTTTTCTCGAGTGGGATTGAGAAAGAAATAATCTAGGGTTGGGTGTGTATGTATGACGAATTGCGCTGGTCTCGTTTATTTTTGTCGCCGTACGAATACAATTTCTTAGCCGGACCGTTACTAGGGGGTGAGTGAACTAGAAAGTTTTAGCGCTGTTTTGGGGTATGGGTAGGGGGGGGGGGGGAAAGAGGGGAAAGAGGGGTTTATTCTGTGTAGTGCATGGAACATACTAGCAGAGTTGGACTCTTTATGATTCCATATTTTTGAGTTGTTGATTGGCCAGTGTTGGGGTAGTATGATGAAAATATTTATATATACTGTGTCGTCTGTCATCGCATCGAGGTCATCAATGTCATATGTATCGGCAAGTAAATGGGTGACTGGGATAAGAGAGTAATGAAAACCAACATCTGGGGAAAATAGGAGGACATCATGGATCCTCTTAGCTGGGTTGAATATTAGCGTCATTGGCATTCACCCCGCTACAAGGTTAGACTGTGAAGTTGAGTGATATCCATACCAATACCACCCCCAACACTTGTCAGGAAGAGCCTTGTGAATTGAAAATGCAGATATGCAGATATGCAACAGAATTGTCTACGTAGTGTCAACTCTCTTTCAAGAAATGGTTCTGAATGGAATAGACCAGTAGGAGTGCTGATTGTACTTGATGGTGGTTGTCAAAGGAGAATGATCGCACTACTTCTTTACTCGCTACACTACACTACACTACAAGGCTTCACTTTCTGCCAAAATATATCTGATTGTACATCTACGATACTAGTACAGCGATATTATTATTATACCCCCAACCCTTAAGAAGTCCGATTCGAATCAAGTGAGACATCCACTCCAATCTAAACTTCGAACATTACGGTATATCATCTCATCTTATATTATCGCTCCCCCCACCCCCCTAATTCCTCACCAATGGTTCTTTGTTGCACATCTACAACCATTTTCTATATTTCTATAGAAAATTCCAGAAAATATAACATAGGATTATTGTTCTCACTGTCTCTATTCTTTTTTTTGCCGAAATATTCATGTTGTATATCTACTATATAGTATTGATCACAAATCTTCAGATGAGTACTACCAAATATTGGTAGTGGAGATTTAAATTTGAATTCTATTATCATCTCATTTCCGACAGATACCGGATGGGGGTTTAAATGTCAGTTTCGCTGTTGGGAGTTTAGTTGATGGGATAAGAAATGAAAAGAGAGGGTGGGATGGAGATTACTAGGTTGCTTGAGATGTAGTAATCGGAACCGAAAGAAAGAAATACTTGAATACCGGTACTTACTCGAGTAGTAGTGAAATATATTAGGGAAGATGAAGAGTTATCGTACATCTGTATCGCCTGTTCGCTAAAATCTCAGTTTATATTGAATATATCGTTTATTACTCACTTGTATTCTCTTACTAAAGTTTTAATATTTCATCGATTACGTTTTCTCATCATCTTTTTTCTTATTCACTTGAAATTCATTCACTATCATTACAATCGAATCTATTACTAGTATCTAGCGTCTACTAACATATATTTTCTTATATTTTCTTTTTCCCTTATTCACTGCTATCTTATTCACCACAACATAACTCTCATACTCGCGTATATATCATCCCATTCATGACCACTCAATCACCAACACTCAGTCACCACTACTTCATCACCCAATTCACTAACACCCCCCAACCATTCTCACTTACCTAATATCACGAGTATCACAATCGAGTCCCACCTCCATCTCCATTTTCATTGCTTAATACTCATCGAACTTCTCAATATGAACATACCATACCATACCATCTATCTACATCCCCAGTATCCCCAGTATCCAGACAACCCGAGTTAGTAATCGACATCTAGAACACCATCCACAACTCAGTCTCTAGCTAGCTTATCCATATTTGAAAATCGAGAAGACTACATACCTACATACCATTAACCTCTAAAAACAATACTTCAACAATGAATACTGAAGTTGTAATGACGTTGATAACCACCACGGAAATTCAATACTGTAACCTCGAGATATACACTTACTGCTCCGATATTCTCGCACTGTATGTAGAGAGCGCATGCTAGTGGGTCCGTAGTTTTCAGGAGAACCGGAGAATCAAATCCTACCAAAAGAGGATTTTAAGAACTGGAACGATGGTGTAAGCACACAATTCTCACAATGACGCTATTAAATATATGCCGAGAGTGGGCTTGTATAGATACTTACGGGAACATTATTTATAGATGAGTGAGTGATGGTATGTATATCCTATTTCATTTCCACTCTAATTATGTACCTATCTATCTATATCTGTATCATCTCCATCATATGCACATGACGACTATTAACTTTTTTCTTTCTCCACGACACCCCAAAACTAAATATGGACAATATCTATAGATTGATCATGGAGGGGTGATTCAATAGGGAGATCAAACGATTACCACCCGCAATGATGCCAAAACTCCAATATTAACTCCCATAAGCCATGCTGCAAATGCATTCCCAGAAGCATATGTGCAACCTGCCCTAAAACGTTATGAATGCACTTCCTTGTCGTGGCAATCATTCGGCATGAATAAGTTCCTTGGGCAAGAAAGCCCAGATTGTACCCACAATCGCCATTACAGAACTAATGGCAATCAAGAAATAATCCAAGATGAGTTCCCTTCTACTAATCTCCTTCCCAAACATCTTGACATAAAACAAAAGCGGCAAAATGACACAAATGGTAAAGCACAATGCCGAACCCATAAATGCCATGATACTATCGAAAGCTGGACAGATGATGGCGATGATTACAAATACGATGAGGACCACGATGCGAATGACAACTTTGATGATGCCGCGAGTGTAGCCTGAGAGTCCGGTGAGTGCCTGTGATCCGGGCATGGCGCGAGAATCTAGCCCGCAGAGCAATTCGATTGTGGACACGATGGGCCGGGCATTCAAGGGGATTTTGGTCAAGGGAATTATGGCAATGAATATGCAAATCATAAGAGATAAGCTGCGCGGATAGCTTGAGTTTCCGATAATGTTGGCTGTTACTTCGTCCATGACATTATCTAGAGAGACGTTAGTAGATGTCTGGAACTGGCATTGAAGCCTTTGCGAAAGGGTGTGGGTTAGGGAGTAAGAAGAATGCACAAAATGAAGGATCGGAACATAAGGTAGTATCGAGGAGCGTCAAAGATGAAATTGAGGGGGTTTTACCTCCAAACATTAATATTCCCGCTAGTGCAGTCGTAGCATCGAGCACATACTAGGAAGTGTTAGCACAATGTAGACTTGGAGATCGAACGTCACTTACTGTGAAACTAAATGTATATTTGACTGCCTTGTCAAATTTATAAGGGTGTCTCATGTCACGATAAATATTGGGAAAGACCGAATGTCCTCCCCAAGGCGACATCATTAGCCCGAATGAAAGTGGAAGTGTGAGCCACTAGACAGCAGTATGGTCAGTAAGAAGTACAATGGTAGAGATAGAACCATCATAATCCTTATTCGAAGGATACAAACTGGGGGATGGTTGTTTGAATTGGATTTGAGCCCTGATACTTGAATGTACCAATCTAGATCAAACATTGAGGTAATCATGATGATGAATGATATAGTGGGGAGGTTTGTCGTGATAATGCACACAAGAATGATACCAAGACAAAGTAACATCTAGATGACTTACGTTGGCTGGGAAAATGTATTGAGTTGCTGGTTCTAGCAGAGAACCGGGAGTTCGTGGTGTTGCGAAACCGTCAATGAGGATAATTAGTACGACTATAATAGTTAGTCAATGTGACGAATTTGGGGAGGTTTTACTTACTGGAAAAGCACGAGATTATTCCAAGAATGCTAGTAAAACTTAACAAACGTAAAGGGACAAAATTGAGCGGTATCAATAGAAGACCACAAAGAATTTTCCACTCGTTTAATCCGACGGAGGGAATTAGCGAGTTCAGGGAATCGGCGAAAAGAACAATCAAGGCAACGCATGCCGCAAGAAGCTCCATAGTGAAAAGTATACTAGTAGCTATATTTGCCTTGCGGCCATAGGATGCATAGGCAATGTCTGCGAAGCTCAGAAGACTGTGATCTCGATCCATGCATTTAGCTAATAACTTCGCAGTGTACGATGTAACAAGGGCGGATAGAAAGAGTAATATCATGCCGCAGAGCAATCCTGAATACTTCAACCCCATTGGGAGACTGAGCAAACCAACTCCAATGAGAACATTTGTGGAGTTGAGAATCGTCTGTGGAAGGGTGGACTGCCCCTCGATCACAAGCACAATTTTCCCATCTTCTTCCACTTCCTTGACGATCAAAGGTAAATGTTCCCCATCTGCAATATTTGCGCCAGTGACTTGTTGTTGTCGCCAAAGCTGGCCGGCATGAACCATTGATGACTCATTTAGAGTTGAACGTAATGTGCCGTAAGATGTTCCATAGCTTCCTGCTAAAGGGGTTGATAGATGCGGGGCAATCGCAAAGATAGATTGGCTTCCCCTTACGCTTCCTTGCACGCTCGAATGATCGCCTCCATTGCGACGTTCTCCTTCAGACTTCTGGTGACTGACGACTCGGGAAAGATTGCTTTCCGGTTCATCGCCAATTGCAAATTCATCATCAACTGCACCGTCTGAAGTCGATCTCAATAGCTGCTCTCCAATCAAGGAAGAGCGGGGTGTTCGCGCATAATCCGTTTGAAATCCTCCATATCCTAGATCTTCGTCTTCGCCTTCTCCAGTGCTATCCCCAGCAAGTATAAAAGATGGCCGGCGCGGAGTTATCTCGTGGAAAGCGGTAGCTCGTGTCAGACTCCGAGCGAAATTTTCGATACTGTTCACACCTCCAGCATGGGCAAGAGACGTAAAGCGCATAGCGATCGAAGATCTTAGAAAATAAAATTTAGCAATGCAAAACGCAAGGAGGGGAAAGGAACTACTACCTTCGTCTTCGGGGTCCTTCATTTCGTTCACTCTGATCGCCAGGGATTAAATAATCAGATTCTGTAGATGGAGAGAAGTTGCCCGAGTCAAATCGTACGCTTCGATTGCTACTAATAGAGCATCTGGGAGATCCTGATGTGCCATGTTCGTACTCATAGAAAGTTATTGGGTTTCGATTGGGGGGGCGCGCCATAATGTCACAAGTAGAAACCTGGTATGGTAATTCTCCAAATCCTCAGTTGTGTTGGAGTAATTCCTTTGAATCCATCTGATGTCTGTTGAGAAGGAGCAGACGAGCAAATTTTATATGATAAGATCAAGGTACTACTGGGTAAGTGTAGAGGAAATGGATCCGGTTATAGACTAGATAGTTCATACGGAGTACTGTAATAAGTATTTATTTTACTCGTAGTCCCGCAAAGATAACGAACGATAAGATATCGAACCGATGCCATGCGAGATTTGGGTTTATGCTTGTGTGTGAGTGGGTTCTTGGGTTCTTGGGTTCTTGGGTTCTTGGTTGTAAGGGGGGTAGAGGGAGGGTTGATTAGCTAACTTATAAGTGTGCGCGGTCCCGAGAATGCAAACAATGCACAACGCCAAATTTTTCACATCTAATGTTCAAAAGTAGAGTTCTGTCCAGTAAATTTTCTGAAAGGTCTTCAATTTTTTGAAGCCCACCATTGTATAGAGATATCAATTTTCAAACTTCGCTTTCGAGCAATTTTTAGTATTTACAGTAATACATGGATTAGATGCCCCACCATCCACAAAAGAACCATGTAAGGGAAATAGACAAACGCTATGTAGATATGGTGCCGAAGACGGCAAAAAACCCCCCATCTTCGAAGATCTCTATCTCTATCCATGCCATTCGTGGTTTGACTGTTTCGCATTACGAACCAGTGACCCCTCAACATTTGATTGGGCGACTTTTTCGTCTCGTCTGTAAAATCATCAGGATTCAGGAGAGACAGAAATGTTCCTCGTGGGTGACCCACCATACAAAATTTGTAGTCTGAGTGTATACAGCCCCTCATTGTCCGGAATTGAGTTGAACGTTCCGCCCGATACCGGTAACTTCATTGCTTCTGACGTTATTTCAAAGTCCAGATTTAGATTGAACATTGATATCATCTGTCGTCCATGATGAGCAATTCTCAAGCGATTCTTCTGGCCCCCTGCATTGATCAATTTTTAAGCACAATTGCAAAGTTGTTGCGACTGCCACCAGCTCGTATCTCTTCCTTCTTCCAGTGTCGTGGTTTCATCGTTGGCGACTGCAAACGCCAGAGGTAGTATACCAGCTTGTTCGAAAGCTTCTTCTTCACCAAAACATACCCCAAGCTCTCCATAATTGCCTCCAACCTAGCTTCATCCATATAACGTGAGTTGTTCACACAAGGCGATGGTAGGACCAAGAACAATGCCGGTAACCATTCGCTAAATCCTTCACCAGCCGGACAGATTGTGTCTAGGAATTTGCGAGTTCGAAGTAACATATTGCCTTTGCCTACACCATCTGGAACATAGTTCAAGACAAGAGAAAGACTGATGATATTGAATTTCTCCGTTTCATCTTTCGGTAGCGGTCGTTCCATGAAATCTTGTTGTGTGATTCCCTCCGACTGACTATTTAGATCAATTCTTTCCACATGAAAGGTATGGCTTCTCGAGCAGGCGTTTGTAGTGCTCAGTGCTCCAACTTCCAACATGCGGACTGGTGAGCCTTTTCCAGCTAAGTCTTTAAGGTCTTTACATAGAGGCGCTAGCCAATCCATCAAGATTTTGCTGCTATCGCCACCTCTATCATTGCCCTGGCCGATCAAACTTGCACGTTGATAGCTTTCTAACCCACCTTGTGAAGCAATCTCACGTGTAAGTGCCACTGCTGTGACTTCATCTCCTTTTGTTAAAGCTTTAGCCTTTCGTTTCTCCAATGTATGATGATTACGGATTATTTCCCGAGTTGCTTTGCTTGATAGACGTTGAGCTGGTTTCTTGATCGTTGGCGGTCGACCTTGTGAGAGGGACTTCAACTTTGTTTTCTTGTTGATGCCCATATTAAAGAATTTGAGAACTTCAAACTCACAGAAAACCAGTATGAATCTTCTTGGGAGCAAAAGATCTTTTCGATCTCTTAAAAAAACACCAACTGATTACGGGAAGAAATGAGATTCAATTAAATCTATTGTTTTTTTTTTTTTTTAGATTTTTCGGAACCCCCCGAGGAGAAAAGCACCCCCAGTCATTTTCTGAAATTCGGCAAAACTATTTCACCGACAAGCGAACTTTTCACCCACGATCGATCAATTCGTCTTTTCACCTCGACATTTTCTTGAAGCAAACCATCAACTCCTCGACAACTCAATTCCAGTACTAATCCACCAGGAAGTATATCCGTCGAAATGGCTCCTCAAGCAAACAAAGGTACAGTCTCCTTTCTTCCAAACACGCATTGATCGCATTCTTGATCGCAATATCGTTCTCGAAAAATATTGCGACTGCTTTGAAAATACGAAAATATGAAAATATTTCCAAATACAATGCGAAGGAATGCGAAAGATGCGCACCAGCAGTAGCAGATATTGCGAGTTCTTTAAAGAGCGCTTGCTGATGCGTAAGTTTTAATAGGTGCTGCCGCCAAGGGTGGTAACAAGAAGGCCAATGCCGCTGCTAAGGCTACCTTGAAGGGTGTAAGTTCTTCTATCTATCATCATTGTCATTGTCATTCAGTACTAACAATCTATCAGGTTCACTCTCACAAGGTCCGCAAGGTCCGTCTCTCGACCACCTTCCACCGACCTAAGACCCTTCAACTTTCCCGTGCCCCAAAGTACCCACGTACCTCGATCATCTCCCAACCCCGCCTCGACGAGCACAAGATTATCATCCACCCTTTGAACACCGAGAGCGCCATGAAGAAGATCGAGGAGAACAACACTCTTGTCTTCATTGTTGATATCAAGGCAAACAAGGCCCAAATCAAGGATGCCTTGAAGAAGCTTTACGATATTGACACCGTCAAGATCAACACCCTCATCCGGTACGCTTGAAACAATACGCTCATCTATGGACAATTGCTAACACACCGACTACAGACCAGATGGATCCAAGAAGGCCTTCGCCCGTCTTACCGCTGATGTTGACGCTCTTGACATTGCTGCTACCAAGCTCGCAATTGTCTAAATAGTCGAACTGGGAGTGGATTTAGGAACCTGGATTTGAGGGACATAAAAAGTTATATGGTCGATAAACGAACCAGCTTTTTTACGATTGGCTGATACCCACATCCATGCGGCGTAATGAGATGAATTTTCAAAATCTGTACACCAATGCAGTACTATCCCATCAATGACAATTCTTGATACACTTGAACTTGTGTGCTTTGATATAACCAATTGTGCTTGACGGCTTGCTCTTATAATTCATTCATATTTTCGAGGGTTTGCATACCAGGGAATGAGATTGACCTGAGTGTGTTAAATAAACTTCGTGACAAGCCTCCATTTTATATTGCATAACAAAAGATCATATTCTTTAAGTCTATCCTTTTACTCCCCATCCCCAAGTATTCGGGTGGATTGTCTGAGTATAACGAAGCATCCAGTAATACTTAAATCAAATACCGAGTTTGCATCTCATCGATCTAGGTAGGCATTCAGAATCCTCATCAAGGACTGTGATATTCCTGATATCCTTCTCCTGGATATTCTTCTCCTGCCTCCTGCACCTCGTTCAAACAGACAATTTATATTGATCCCCCCGGCAATCCAACCATTGTTCTGCCAAAAGAATATTGTATCATTCATTAACCCACCTCCATCTGGCACATCCGTCTAGGATTTGTTAATCATATATGGACTACATTTTTGCATGCCTCATCCATCAATATACCTCTTCTACCCCTCTATCCTCATTATTCTATCATCTTCCTGTATCACAAGCAAACAAGTAGAGAGTCCCTCCAAGCAGCCCTTTCCTTTCTTTCAACATCATTCCATCTCATCTTATCTCATCAATCCTGATCATACATACATACACCATCTCTCCCCATCCCCCCCCTTCCCCCTCCATCATCCCTCCTCAATCTAACTCCCAATCAAAACCCCCACAATCAAGCTCCCCCCTTCGCCCTCAGAGTATTCAAATGCGTCAGCACCACCTGACTACTATCCAAAAACCTATCCACGCAATTCATCGCACAACTCTCCTCTCCCTTATCGAGTTTTCCGCTGCGGATATTGCCTGTTATGCATTTTTTCCAGCACACGTCTGTTAGGGAGTGGACCGCTATTTGCGTTTGTATCGTTAGCTACTATGTCTTTGTTTCTCTTCATTTTTGTCTCCCTCCTTGTTATGTTTATCCCTGATATATTCTGCGATCTTGAGTTGAAAGGAAAGGAAGAAGGGGTGGCAATATAATGCAACACAACTCAACACAAAAATAAACCCAAACAAATCAAATAAAAAACAAATCAAAAACCCCAACATACCCTGCTGAATCTGAGTCTTCTGCGTCTCATTAACAATAAACTGCTGTAATTCCTGCTTATCACGATCCGACAACTTGGAGAGATCCGGCGTTTGCTGTTGTGAGGATGAGGAGTCCATGCTTCGGTTTCCGCTTTCTTTTTTGATGATGATAATGGGTGATTTATTGTATGCTGTTGGTTGGGGAATTTCGCTGTTATGTGGCTAGGTAGGCTAGGTTGAGGTTTGAGTAAAATAGAAGGTTTGCTGTGTGCGAGAGAGGGGTAGTTTGTAAGGCTGAAATTTAAATAAGTTTGATATTGATGATATTGAAAGCTTAAGAAATTTTGCCGGGTTCAAAGAATCTCGGCATAGGCGTCATTGTGTCACGTGAGGAGTGAGGAGTGTTCCGCTACATTTGTCCGAATGTTTGCAAGTTTGAAGGCAAGAAGACATTTAGGGGTTGGAGGGAAATATATTTAGTAGAATATCGTAATCGATCGTCTCTGTGCAACATCTGATTTATTATCAACACTATCAAAGTCTACATACATCTATGAATTATCCAAAAGATATAATACCGCCATGATTTTAACCCATTTTTGTCTGTACAACGTCTACCAAAATTGCAAGCCTCCCAACAAGTATTATGAGTTCAAGAAAGTTTCTCATCCTCGAAGTCTATATATATCTATAACGTCTTGCGAGAGCCAAAGAGGCAAGAGTGAAAGCCACTAGGATAGCTAAAATTGTGAAGAAAGGGATGAGGTTATTAGTGTCCTTGAAAGGAACTTCAACGTTCATACCAAACATACCACATACTAAGTTGAGGGGAACGAGGATGGAGGCGAGGAGAGTAATTTTGCTGAGGACCTTATTTGCGTTGTTTCCTTGGGTGATGTTGTCGATAGAGAGTTGTGCCAGATAATTGCTGTGTGACCGAGAGAGCATCTTCTCAGAGTGACCCAAACTGGTCATCATAGTGACAACGTGATCTTGAACGTCGCCAAGATACAGACCAATATCCATATGAGGGGTGACACTGTAATTTGAATTACAGCGCTTTGTGAAACCTTTCAAGACATCGGCTTTGCCTCCAAGAAGTTTCATCAGACCCATGACATTCTTACGGACCATGCCGATTTTCCGTAGGAAGGCATGCATGTCATCAGTGCGAGCAATAAACACCTGATCCTCAATCGTATCTGTTTCGTTGTCGATCCTATGGATAACAGGTGCGAAAGAATCCACGATGTCATCTCTGGGAAGTTGTTAGTTTGCGAATTCTATGACCATGAAGGGACACTTACATTAAAGCATAACATATCCAATCACTGTTTAAAGCCAAATAGTCCTTGAGCGTTGTGATGCGCTTACGAATTTGAGCTGCATGTGGGTTTGGCGAAAAGCTGAAGCTGAGTAAACCCTCTCGGAAAACAATCACATAAATATTGAATGGTTCGTATGCTTGGCCATCCTCGATTTCCACTACGCGGAAGGTACGGAAGCAAGCGAAGTAGTATGAAGGGAAGAGCTCAATCTTCTCTCGCATTTCTCGAGCTTTAATATCCTCAATGGTCAGGGGATGGACTCCAAATGCCTTGCAGATTACTCCAATCTCATTCTCCGTTGGACTGTTCATGTTTAACCACCAAACGCCATCTCCTTGCTGTGCCCGCGGAAGGGTAAATAGATTTCGGATATCTTCTCCTTCCAAAATGAGATCACCAAATTCTGCTGCATGAATAGTATCTACTCCGTACGAGGAGAAGTATTCAAATCTGTTGGCGTCGAGGTGTGGCTGCTGCGGTCGTGTGATTTCTTCAAGGCTAGATAAGTCCAGCTTCTCATTTATTGAAGATGGTGAACCTGAAGGAATATCGACAACATTACCTTCCGATGTTACAATCGTGGGTACCGCACCATTGGTTCGCAGGTCGTTAAAGACTCGAGGTAGCGTGTGGTTTACTGGAGTCTTAGCACGACTTTCCTCATCTTCAATGAAATCCTCAAGAGTGTCAAAATTGATTTGGAGCGAAGCTTTAGTCGGAGAAGAGTGTAGAGGAAAGCAAACATCCTCCTCTGCCGACTTGGACGATCCTGCGAAGCTCTTTGTCTCATCGTCGTTAGTGTAACGTCTGCTACGAAAGGTATGATGGCTTCGGTGACTGGCACGTGAATCTGATCTATGAAGAGGATTGTGCTCTTCATGGCGTCTAGCATCTGCAAATGCCTTCACAGAGGTCGGGTCCGAGATAGACATCTCCCGTTCCCGTCTCCTTGCATCGGCGAATGCCTTTACTGAACTAGGTGGAGATGTATCCCGGATACCAGCAGTGCCTGCAGTCCCTCGGCGACTTCTGTCTGCAATCCGAACAACCATAGGGGAAACTCCCCTAGAGTCCTCATCGACGATCGCTTCCTCGAAATCTCTTGCGATAGTGTGAAGAAGTGTATTGTTTACGCGTGCTAGGTCTGGACTCATCGGGGCTCGAGGCGACGGAGCGTATAAGGTATCAATTGTACCACTGCGAGATCGAGCTTTTGGGAGAGGTTGTGATTGATATCTGTGGTCATCTAACTCGGGCACTGGCGTGCTGTAGCCAGTGTCGAGGGAAGTATCTTCGTGTTCAGACATTCTGAAGGATAAGCTTGTGAACCAATTATATTTGGATTAAATTCTGCGTGATGGTTAGCCATTGAGCTCCAGATGTCACAACAATGATGGCATACAGATTTCTAGGAAGCCAACGCTTTCAAAGTCCAGGCAGGTCGCAACGAGCGCCTACCGCTTGTTTGGCGTCAATTTGATAGTTGACCTTGCACAGGTATTCCCTGTACAGTGTTCCTAGTGAAGAATGGCAACCCGTCCATCCGATACCCCTTTTGAATTAGAATTATATGCGCAGTTGTATATTTCGTTTTGTATTGCTTAAGATCCAATTATGGGGGGTTCTTGTCGCCTCCACAGTAGGCCCAGATCTTCACTGGACCGAGGAGGGGGCGGATAAAGGTAAAGTCTTGAAGTACGAGTCCCGCCAACTTGGTGGTTTGTGATGTATGAAGCCGCTGAGGGGATGAGAATCGAAATAAATGACGTCCGGTAATTGCTTTGATATGACAATCTCAATGTTTCGATATGAGACAGTATTTGAATAGAATTGCTGGGGGCTTAGATTGTTGGAAGAATGGAAAAGGAGGTTTGGTGGATGGCCGGTCGTGGGTTTCGTGGGTTGAAGTTTCTCGAGGTAGATGTAGGAACTAGTGAAATACTAGCCCTACTGAATGATGTTGGAGACCCTATGGCTGACTAAGATGGAGCCGGAGGCCAAATAGCTTTGTTCTTGTAAATTCTTGTTGCAAACAAATATTTCGAGTATGATAAGTGAAATGTAAGATTTTCTTTCTGAATTTCAAAAGAGTTGAAAGGTCAAAACCAATCTATTGTGGTTTTTGGTTGTATGTTGATATTTTTTTCAAAGGAGGACAAGAAGTGGGTGGAGGTTGGGAGAAAGCTTGAAAGGAAAATGTTAGTGAAGGCGCTTATTACTACGGGTACACATTTGATTGAATTTGGTTCGTAATAGAGGAGTGAGGAAGTGAATAGTGGAGTGAGTGAGCACAGGATAACCAAACCTTTATATTAACATTTTATATATACAAGTTAGTCATATACGGAGTGGCGGTAGAGAGAGAGAGAGTACAGTATACCGGTACCGCGATAGGTTTCTTTGGTAACTACTTCCCCTTCGTAAATAATACCACCTGAACAACTTTCTATGATTGTGTACTGATAACAAAGGGCCAAGACCTTAAACTAATTGTAATTGACTAATTGGTACAATAAGAAATCTGGAAAGAATGCCCGATTGGTACAATAAGACATCTTGAAGGTTTATTCTTAAGATTTTGATACCCTTTTGTTCCTCATCTCATCTTCCAAGGTTTCTCTTGTCGTGAATTATCGCCATACTTCTCTTGATCCTTTTTTTCTTCGATTTTCTCTGATCACATCATATCTTTTATCTTCTTAGCCAAGACTTTCGAGTTTTCGTACAGCACATACAGCTCATACAGCTCATACAGCTCATACATCTCATACATCTCATACATCTCATATAGTTTAATATCATAACTTCAATATCAAGCCATTTGAGTAACTCATTGAACAAAAATCACTCATCACTCACCAAAATCTAGTTATGCATATGCTTTAAACCCTGGCTATCAATGTTCGGCCAAGACGATTAGTAGCCACAACGAGGCTGAAGTGTGGCCTTAACTCAACCCTTCAAGGGACAACAGGAACAGGAACACCTTGGAAATTGATAACCTTTTCACCTAATCGACATTTTTCTTTAAACTACAAATATGGCAGATCAAATTCTTGACCAGGTTCGGGACCTTGCTGAAGGCCAAATTGTTCGTACACATTCATATAGAGAGAGTTGTGAAGCTGTTTTGATGCTAATTCATGTTCCACATGTAGGACTTTGAAGGACAAAGATTGGCCGAATTCTTGACAACAGCTTTACTAGCAATATCCGGAGTAAATGATCCAACCCACTCTCAATCATCCGGAAGGTACTGATTTATAGTAACAGGCCGTTGCTTTCTTCGTTGGCTTCTTCAAACAAGATATCAAACTTGCGCTTGCTTTCGGTTTGCTTGGAACGGCCTTTACCTTTGCCATTGTTGTGCCTCCATGGCCATTTTTCAAAAGACATCCCGTTAGATGGTTGCCTTTGGGGGGAAGGGATGCATCGTCACCAGGAATCGTTGTGGATGGAAAGACTGTTGCTTGAAGAAGTGCTCATGGGATATTTATGTTGGGGGCGTCATAAGTTTGGAGGGATACCCAAACAAACATTGAAAGTACTCATACCATATTCTAAAAATGCAAACAATGTACTGGCACAAACAAAAGCTCAAATTGAAACCTATGTGCCGGAGTCTCGCTCTACTTCTGTGTCCATAACGCCAATCCTGCCAGAAGTTCTCCAGGTATTCTCCCTAATGAATCCTTGGATGAACCGCGCAGATGAGATTCATGCCGCTCCTTTTGGTATATTATTCTTCGTTGGTGACCGTAGCTTCATCATCTTCTTTCAAATACCCCATCCATTCCCAAGTGCATTCTGAGAATACCAATTTAACGACCATACTTCTGGAACTCCCAGTCTCTGTTATCGAGGGGACAAACTTGGCGTGTCTTTAGCCAGCGGGAAATGCAATGGAAATGGAAAGCGTGCTGTCAAGATTAGTATTAGAACACGCTAGTCAAGGAGAACTGTTTACTTACGTTGCAGATTCCCCAAGCTACAGTGCATTCCTCACTTGTGGCAGAAGCTTGATTTGCTTGACATTCGATACCTTTGTGAAGGTCAGTGGTTGGCTTCCTGTCTGACATCCTCGAACTTACAAAGATCCATAATGTGATTTCTGCAAATAGCGCAGTTGTCAACAACAATATCCCATGCCCATAAAGCTACCGCGCTCCACTAGAAACCCCATTAGATCTGCGCAGATACAACTTTCGAGGTATTTATACCTTCTTAACTTCGAAGCGCTTTTTACCTTCCAATCCTTCACCACCTGCTGCTGCCTTCTTAGTACCGCCCTTCTTCCCTGTAGCTGGAGGAGCATCTGTCATATCTACATCTGCCATGTTGACGGAAGCGATAGTTATCTAAATTGATTGGTGATAGCGGGGTACTTTTGGATGAGGTCGCCGAACGAATATGAATGGCGAAATTAACACGGATAGGTAGTTTGATAACTTTAATGATCGACCAGACTGAAGGCGAGGTCTTTGTTGTGGCAGATAAATATTACTCTCAAAATTTGAATGAAAAGAGTTTCTCGATTGGGTATGATTTTGAATACAGGTCAATATCGTAGATGCCTTGAAGCTGTTTGTTTGATAACCTTGACTGGATGGATGACTAATTCACAAATCGATGAGTGAAACGGAAACGGGTACGGAGTGTGCTGTATCGCATTTACCTTCTTCAGCCTCTCCTCTCTCCTCTCTCCTCCCTCCTCTTATTGATATCACAATCTTAAAAACCATAATATCGAACAATGAATAACTTACTTCAATCAATCAACTTCATTCAATTAAACAAATTCAATAAAAAAAACTACTTTTCCACTAGATTATGAGACACATCCAGCGAACGACCACCTCCTTACCTATAGCCCACCATTCGTACCGTCCGATCTACAAGCGCAAACCGTATAGACACCCGGAGGCTTTCGTCTCTTATATATCAAGCACAACCATTTAAATTTCATCACATTAAGAAACAGATTTCCCCAATTCTACTGCATTTTGTAGGTGCTAGGAAGAGATGTCCTCGATGACTCCCCACAAAGGGCAGCATCAAATCCAAAACTTCGCCGCGGAACTTGCAACAACCTCACCTCAATATCCTCAAAATTCGCATGATTTCAATAGTCAGGCATATTCTGTGAACACGCAGTCCGCGATGACCTATTCCGATCAGCCCACTACCCCTCCCCGAACTCCTCGAAGAGTCCAGCAGAACCAGCCAGCCTCTCAAAGTAGAGTAAACTCGGCCGTACCCGACAATAGCTCAAGGAAGTCTACCAATAAGAGAAGACCCAAAAATGTTCAAACTTCTCCTGTTGCAACAAGGAATGATCGAACTACCCCGCCACTGACTGGCGCTCAATCTACCGGTGGCTCAACTGCTGCCAGACCTATTCAAACACCATCCGCAGCCCAGGTCTATGCAGGCCCAACTTTCCACGCATCTCCGGCCCCATCAGCTCTACCCATGCCAAGTTTTTATTCCAAGTCTGTCCCAGAATCGCCAGCAATCAGAACTGGAAATGCGATCAAAGAGCCAGATTCGTCGGCAGATGAATCTTCACAGACTCCATCAGCACAAATGTTTAGTGGTGTTTCACGTAGGGAGGAATCACCACTTGACCTCTTCTTCAAAGCAGATAAGCGGGAGAAGGCTGAAAAGATACGAGCACGAAGTACCAACTCCAATGCCACGGGGTCCGTTGGACCCTTCAACCTCCCACTTGTATCACCGGGTAATACAAGAACTCCGCCACAACCTACCAGTCAATACCGCAACAAAACCATACCAACTTCTCGTGGATCGGCAAGTGGTGTCTTTTCCATGGAGCTAGACGGATCTAACAGTCCTGGATTGCCACTCGGGCCGGCATTCTCCACTCCCTATAACGAAAGGATCTTGGCAGCACGGAAGATATCAAGTCCCTCGCAACCACATAATTCGTCGCCATGCAATTCTCAACCATCCTTGGACAACTCAGAGGCACTCAAGGCCTATCTGTTCTCTGCAGATCCATCTACCAATGATAACCTTGGGCCTGCTTTAAGCTCAACAAATTCTGCAATACCATATCAAGGCGGATATAGCTCTCCGAGTGGTTCTAGAAGCGGGGGAATGCCAGGAAGGTCTCCACAGACAAATTATAAGTACAGAGGTGATTCCCGAAGCACAGGAGACGTTCCCAAATCCGCTCGATCAGGTCTTCGCCAAGAAGTCACCCCAACAAAAACCCCTACAAGAACGCCGGATCGTACAAATTCATACGGACCATCCCAAAACCCGTCTCAAACATATGGGGACAACTTCCCAGCCACCAATAATGGTAATAGCGCTACTCAAGTCACAAACTCTTCGCCCGTGCCACAAGTATCCTCTGGTACCCCGCCTGGAAATGGTAATCCCGACCTTCGAGGTATGGAAAACGATTTGAGGCGGATGCTGAAATTGGATTCTCCCGGCTTTGCTGGATCAGCACGATAATCTGCAGTGCAAATCTACTTTTTTTCCATGGCAAACGGCGTTCGGGTGATGGCTTCTAAACCATCACATACTAGGTTACTATATTGGCGTTCTGGTTCTGGTTATCGTGTACTTTTTTTTTCTTCCTCCAGTGAGAGCGTTATGGTTACGACTTGGTGCATTTTGACTTTCAGGGTTTGTGGCATTTTTATAGAGATGATGGCTTGGTATACCCATGTTAGTTCTCGCAATGTTAGGGCTGGTTTGCCTTGTATTATTGGGGAGCAATTTCGGAAATGTTCTCACGATTGATGGTTATACCTCAAATCTCACGCTACGACGATTGATTCTGTTACATCTCTTGAGGCAAGATTCGGCTGTCTGGACTACAACAATTGGAATACTGGGGGAAGGAAAAACGGTGTGGCCCAGTTTTGTGGGAAGAACCAGCAATACTTAAAACATAAAAACAAAAAATCCTCGGATCTTCAGATTATGTTCTTAGTCACTGGAGTCTATCGTCGCAGATACCTCGGTGGTTTTTAGTTAGAGTCATCGTTGATGGCTAGACAGAAATGAATCCGTTCTAATACACATAACCCCTTTTTATGCTCGCTAGTTGTGATACGAGGTGGCTTCCCTGTGGGTTGTGAGTGAAGAGGCCTGGCACAACCTCTTGAAAACAAAATTATACCACTGAAATGACTTGACGTAACCCATGATTTTATACTACATGACCTCAATCATGATAGATGACAAGAAGTAATAGCAAATTTATTATGATACTGCTGCGGTCAATTCTCCTCGATTCCCGGCAGCCAATCGGCGAGGACCAAAAAAGCTCCGATAAGCTTTACAGAAAAATAATTCCGCTCACAATTTCTCCATGGAATTCAGGAATTGCACAAACCAATTCGAAATGCTAATATGAATAGAAGCCTCGCGGTGAAATATGGTCACCAATTACTACGGCCTCTCACGCGGAATTGGTTCCTCCAAAGAAAGTCTTTTGCGAGTGTAGCAACAGACACAAGGTATTGAAGTGCCCCTCCAACCCATCTCGCTGCGCAACTAATTCTCTGCGTTCAGGCCATACGATGTCGTCGTTATTGGAGGAGGTCATGCAGGAGCAGAAGCTTGTGCTGGCGCGGCGCGATCAGGGGCTAGGACTGCATTGATTACACCGAAACTCGAGAATATTGGTGTTTGTTCTTGCAATCCTAGCTTTGGTGGGATAGGGAAGGGGACAATGTTGAGGGAGGTGGATGCGCTGGATGGGGTTGCGGGGAGAGTTATTGATAAAGCGGGGGTGCAGTTCAAGGTGTTGAATCGGAAGAAGGGTCCTGCAGTCTGGGTAGGTGGATAATATGGTACTGACAATGCGACAGTTTGTGCTAAAGACTTTTTAGGGCCCTAGAGCGCAAATCGATCGGGATTTATACAAAAAGCATATGCGGGAAGAGTTAGAAACGTATCCGAATCTTTCAATCGTGACGGGTAGTGTGGCGGATATCATTGTTTCGAGGGAGGATGGTGTAGCGCAAAGTGGCAAGATTACGGGTGTGCGACTGGAATCGGGAGAAATTATACCTACGAAGCAAGTGGTGATCACGACCGGCACGTTTCTAGGCGGGGAAATTCACATCGGTTTGGAGTGTTATCCTGCAGGTCGCTTGGGCGAAGCGGCAACCTTTGGCTTGAGCAAATCGCTGAAAGATGCTGGATTTACCTTGGGAAGACTGAAGACGGGGACACCCCCTCGGCTTTTGAAGGGTTCGATCGATTTCAAAAATCTTGCCGTGCAACTAGGAGATCAGCCGCCGACGCCTTTCAGCTACCTCAATGATACTGTGTCTGTTCAGGAGCAATTACTGTGTCATGCTACGTATACGAATGAGGCTTCACATGCTGTGGTTCGGGAAAATTTGGACAAATCTATTCATATTAGAGAGACTGTGAAAGGTCCCAGATACTGTCCGTCGCTAGAATCTAAAGTCATACGATTCGCCGATAAAGATAGGCATATTGTATGGCTAGAACCCGAAGGATTCAACAGCGACATCATTTATCCCAATGGTATTTCTATGACTATACCAGCGGAAGCTCAAGAGCAACTTTTGAAAACCATCCCAGGTCTAGAGAATGTCACGATGACAGCGCCGGGCTATGGTGTAGAGTATGACTATGTCGACCCCCGAAGTCTCAAAGCAACACTTGAGACAAAGGCAATTCAAGGTCTCTTCCTAGCAGGTCAAATCAACGGCACTACAGGTTATGAGGAAGCAGCCGCTCAAGGTATCATCGCTGGTATTAATGCCGGACTTGCATCACAATCATTACCACGATTAGTTTTATCCCGCAGTGATGGCTACATCGGTATCATGATCGATGATCTCATCACCAAAGGTGTTTCCGAACCCTATCGCATTTTTACATCTCGCAGCGAATACCGCATGAGCACCCGAGCTGATAACGCCGACTTGCGACTGACGGAAAAGGGACGACTAGCAGGAGTGGTAGGAGAAAAACGCTGGTCTGCCTTTAACGACGAGGCAACTCAAATCGAAGGTCTCAAATCAGCGCTTGAAAAAAGTACATTTAGTGCTCCAGTCTGGATCAATGATGGCTTTAAAGTATCAAACGACAGTACTATGCGAAACGCCTTTGATGTTCTCCGCATCCGCGACGTCACAATCAACGATTTCTCAACCCGCATCCCAGAAATTCTAACCTACCCTCAGCGAATCCGAGATAGAGTCGGTATCGAAGCCGTCTATGCCCCATACGTCGCCCAACAAAAAGCAACACAGAGAGTCTTCCAAAAAGATGAATTGCTTAGACTACCGGTGGATTTGGATTATGATTCTATTCATGGAATTTCCATGCATGAGAAATCGGTGTTGAAGATTACGAGGCCGGAGAGTGTGGGACAGGCGAGGAGAATTGAGGGCATGACGCCGAGTGGGTGTTTGAGGTTGTTGGCTTTTGTGAGGGAAAGGTCGAGGGCGGTTCAGAAGGCGAATCTGGTTGATGAGGTTGCTAGGAAAAGAGGGGAGAGGGATGCGGGGGTTGAGGTAGAGGGGGGCTTGATTTGAAAGGATCATATGTATAGATATGCATGGCGATGGCGTTTATGGGAAGATCGGGCGGATGGATAATTTCCAGAAAAGTACTTTGGATTGGTGATTTGTAGGATGTTTACGAAATGTAACACTGTAAAACTATTATTCTGTAGAGGACATTTCTTCAGGGTCACAGGTGGGGGAACAATGGACTGTGTGTACTCGTAGATAGACCATACATTCCAATGTAACCATCTGTAGCTAATATTATTAGCTCAAGTTTATTAAATTCTTCCACTACACTATAATACATCATATCATAATGGTACGTATTGATGATTCTACTCTGTAACAGCAACCAGTATGATTTTGATATTCCCTCGATGGTTAGAGTTGCACATTGTGCTATCTATACATGACAAAACATATACACATATACACATATACACATATACACATATACACATATACATATACATATACATATACATGCTCATAAATATATACAGTAGGAACCAAACCCCAACCCCCACAAAGATTAATCTCCTCACCTCATTTCACCTCATTTCACCTCACCTCACCTCCCCTCACCTCATTATCTATGAATGGATGACTCAACCTTTATCAATCAAGATTCAAGATTTAAGATTCAAGTAATCTTCGAGGAGGTCCTTGGGGGTATGGGTATAACAAAATATAACAGAGTATACAGTAAAACAACAGGGATATGTGATATGTTGCAAATATAACATGGGTAGTAGTAGTTCAATGAGTAGTTCAAAGAATAAGTAGTTTACTGGGAATAGGGAAACACGCATGCCCTATGCAATGTCGGTGACTGCCCCCCTCTCGCTCGTGATTTTTTCTCGTGAAGTTTCTGGTAGTTCGCAGTGGGATTTGGGATTTGGGTTGAGTAGGGTAGGGTAGGGTAGGGTAAGGAGGGGAGTATGGAAGGATACTTACTGTAAGCGAGGGGAGAGGAGGAGAGGAGACGAGGAGACGAGACGAGAGGTGGAGGAAAGTAAGTAAGTGAGTCGGTTATGGGTTGTGGATATATATACCACCGATATATATACCGATGTTGAGATCGAGATTCACTTCCCCTTAATTGGAAAGTCAAGAAAAAGTTATCTAGAACTAGGAGATGGAAATAAATTACATCATACCTCTCTCTGTTCACCGCATGCCTGAATAAATTAATAAATTACCATGAATGAAGCGAAGCTTTCACAATGTATTGTTGTATCGTACATGTGACTTACTATCAGTTTATCCTATGATTCCTATCCTAATTTTAATTCCTCTCATAGTTGTAATTATATACAACTCACATCTCACACCGTCAGACAGAAATCTAATCGTGTATGTACATGTACAGCCTGGATTTCTATTACTACATAACATACCATTCCATTCCATTCTATCACCTATACCCATTAGTCATCCTATTTCAATTTCTATCTTTTTCTAGATTCCGATTCCGCTTCCTGTTTCTGATCTGGCTGCTTCCCCTTCTTTGCAGAATCTGTTTGACCAATGATTTTGACTGCGTCTTTGGTGTAGATGTAGCTCAATCCGCTCCAAATGGTGGTTGTAGCTACTAGGTATCTTGGTTTGATTTGTTAGTATATTCCTTCGCATCCCATCGATTCTTCATTATTTGCTCTTTCGTCTATAGAGTATAGAGCTCATGATTCCCCTCCTCAGCTTATTCCCTCTCTTGTCCTCGTTACACCCTACGAAACACCCAGCTAATAAAAGCACAAACTTCAATTTTTTTAAAAAAACTCACTGAAATCCCGTCATGGCAATTCCCACATCCCAACTGATCAACGGCAACGCCGTCGTCGCCCCAATTAACCCCAGTTGCAGTGCTGTGTTATATTTACTAATAGTAGTCGGATGCACCTCCGCCGACGGGAGTGAGAAATCCCAATAACGAGAAAATGATTTGGGGGGAGGGAGGGAAATCCATCGCCAGTAGATGGCGGAGATGGCGAGTGCGATATCGCGGCCCAGAATTATGATTGCGAGCCAGACTGTTGTGTGGGAAGTTAAATTTGGTGGTGTTTTGAAGTGATAGAAAACTCATGTTTGAGATGCTGGAAACGGGTAAAGGAGGGACGCAACGAGATAAACGTCAAAAAGAGAAACATACCCGGCAACCCCCCCTTAATCGCCAAACAAACCGTCAAAACGGTCATCAACGTCTTATCCGCCATGGGATCAATAATCGTTCCCACCACCGTCTGCAAATTCCATTTCCTCGCAATCCATCCATCTACGAAATCCGTAACTCCCGCGTAAGCAAAAAGTGCAACGGCCCACGCATGTTGATCGTGCAAAACAAGGTATCCGCAGATGGGCGCGGCGATGAGACGGGAAAAGGTGAGGATGTTGGGGATGGTGTAGATATTTTCGTGGGGCGTGAGGGATTTAATGGATTTGAGGACCTGGAGAGGTTTTTTCAGGGGTGTGAGTGTGGGCCGAGGGGTAGCTTGTTTGCTGAAGGGGTTTTGCGTCAGTTTTTTTATGTGAAGTCTGAAAATTCAAATACAGTAGAATGACCATCGCCATGTAGCCATATATCTCTCTTCCCATCTCATTCCACGCTCCCAACTCCCCACGCATTGGAAACGTCACTAGACATATAATCACGTGACACAAGTCACCTCTCCATTCGAAGTCCCATCCCGAATCCCACAAAAGAAAAGACTCCCCTACCTATCCTTCTTCCCACCACTCCCCGTCGAATACCTCACAATCCCCCTCTCCCGCTGCGTTCTATAACCCCATTAGCTTCATCCCACACCAACCCACATCATCCCCGCGAGCAATCTCACATATCAGAAAAAAGCACCCGTCCATTACTCTCCGACCAGCCACTCAAACCCGCACGACTCGAACCCCTACAAATCGACCTCGAAGGAATGCGTATCGAAAGCCCTGGCACCGAGCCCATACACCTCGTAACCCCCAACCCCAACCCCATCCTCATCACCATGCCTCCCTTACACAACATCAAAAACTGTTGTCTAGCCATCAATCCCGAAGTTCTCATTGCATCCTGGTGTGTGTGTGAACCTTGACGTTTCAGAAAGTTCACCGCAAGTGCCAAAACTATAAATACTCAATTGACACAAAGTCAATGCAATTTATTTTCTGGACTTTCGAAGATGAAGTTTTTGAGTTTGGTGTTTTTTTCTGGAAGGAGAAGAGAACCTCAATGCTAAATGAGATGGATTTGATGATTTTCCGATTGGCGACGGGGAATAAGGCGGGGATTATTTTAGCCGCGTCGCGCGACTACGCGTATCGCGATTACATGGGGTTAGGTATCACCAATTAATTGTTCACCACAATCCTTTACAGTATTTGATCAATCATACAAATACAAGAAAGCGATGCTCTACTTCATACGTTTCTGGAAAATCACCAAAGCACTATAATGAAAACAATCAATATGTAAGATGCGTAAATAATGCTCTATTTCTTTTTTGTCTATTTAAAAAGGATGGATTAAAATACATTTGAGAAAATCGATTGGCATACAATATGAAATAAAAGAAAACTCATCTCCCAGAACCCTTCATCATTCGTTCAATGACATTGATGTCTAATTACAAATTCTAGCCCATGGAAAAAGATCTTCGCTCAGTTGATTCTTCATGGAACTGACAGGTATACATACAAACATACATGTAGGGGTAACATCCGCGATACTGTGATAATAGGAATCAATATGCCGACCATAAGTACACATGTGCCAGCCCGTCCAGCAATCATCCGTGATCCATAAATACATACAAGTGTTAAAATAACTGAAAAGAAAATGAAAAAAAGTTTCAACAACTAGTATATCGACCGCAAAGCAAAAGCCTTGTCTCATAAGAGCCTTTCGAATAACCAAAAGGAAGCTAACAAAACTTAACAGTGCCGAAAGGTTGCCATATGATGACAATAGACAGACTGAGAAGGCGAATGCGATGTCGAAATATACAAAGAAACTGTGCTGGATCCCCAGTTTCGCGCCTGATGCCAAGTTGGAGGGCGAGTGGCGGTGGGGAGGAGGAGTGTGGTGGGAGGAACGAGCGACGAAAGTAGCCTTGAGATATAGGGAACTGGTTCTCGTCGTTGGAAGGATATGGACTCGATCGTGTATATACACTGAAATATTTGCTCATCTCCCACAATTCATCTAACTACTGCCGTTTGGAGAGCCGTTTGGATGAGACCAATCGGCTTGGGATCCCATCATATAGTGGGCATGTCCAGTGCTGGCGTTACCCGGCGAGGCTTCCGTATTTTGGACATAATATTGTGCGACTGGTTGGGCATATGGAAGGTCGAATGGCGGCAACGTTCGTTGCGTCTGAGAATAACCATGAGGGGTATTAGGTGTAACTCTTGACTGGTAACCACTGGCGGGTGTATATCCAGTCTCATTAGGGGTTCTTGAGTCCATTTGACCATGGATCATTCCAGACATCCTAGTTAACATCTCGGGTCCTCCAGAACTATTTAATGATTGTTGGCCATAATTCGAAGATCGGTGATCAAGCGGCGTTGTATTCATGCTGTTCATGTTATTCATGTTGTTCATGTTGTTCATGTTGTTCATGTTGTTTATGTTGTTCATGTTATTCATGGAATTGTGGTGCTGTTGTCTATAAACATTGACGTGTCCTTCAGGCTTGGGTGTGTGGTACATGATATGAGCTGGTGGATATTGAGTATAAGAGCCGCCATTTGAACTTGTTGCAGGAATCCCTGGGTTATAAGAAGAGCTGGCACCTAAACCTGTCGCAGGGAGGCCTCCATTATATGATGTGTGGTTATATGACGCGGAGCCGACACCCATTGTGTGATTATTGTTCGTGAAATGACCGTTGGATTGATATGAGGCGCCAGTCATAGATGGGTCAGGTAGTCGCGGGGCGTTTGGATTCGGGAAGCTGTAATCACTTCGATCCGGGTTGTTAAATTGAGAGGATAAGTGATTTTCGCGAACATCGTCGTCTTCGTTCAAACCGTTTAGATCTCCAGGAGGATGTTTGTAGCTTTTGCTAAAGATTATATCTTCACGCGGCTTGAGATCCTTGAATTTAGGATCCATTTGTGGAGTTTGAAGTCTGCCGGACACGATGTCGTCGATATTGTAATACGATACAATGTGATGAGTAATTTCACGTACCGTTATGGTAATCGTCTTCTTTATGAGACAAACATTATCCTCTTTGAAGTCGTACGAATCAACCAGGGAACCGACCAATGAGCGTTCCAAATCCTTGCTGAGTGCTCCATGCGCAGAAGAGTAAACGCGACCTGGGGTTACTCCATTACCACGTTTCATTTGCATGCCTTGTCTCTTATCTTTCGCCATAGCCTTTTTCTTTTGTCCCGGCTCAAATGGTTTGTTCAACTCTCGATAGACAAGGAAGTTTCCTACCATGCGACTCGGACTCCATGTAATGCCATCGGTCCATCGTTTCACTCCGGATGATGTTGATTCGTGTACGAAAACGTTTCCACTCTTGATGAGTTCGGGTCTCTCTTTATCATGAGGGCGACGGGCGAGATGGCTGAGATTTCCTTCAAAGCAGGCTTCGAGAAGTAGCATTGCATCTGTTGTGTCTGCAATGTACCCCGTCCAGGTCGGACCAAGAATACCTGTTGCTCCAGCAGGCATGGCTACAGAAATGAGATCACCCGTTGATGATATCGTTCAGCTTGATCTGATACACTGTTAAGTGTCACGGTTGAGTATAAAGTTGGATATGTATCGATGTCAGTTGATTGAGGAACTAATGGTCCCCTGCTCCAAACGTTTTGACAGAAACTAAAATTATAAAGGTAAAATATTAGGTTGAAAATAGAGTGTGATATGCAATCTTAAGGCGTAGTAGGCTGGAAGTAAGGTTTGATGTTTTCGGGGTCGAAGTCACGAACAGCAAAGGAATTTGAGGTTGAGATTGAGCTTCTGGTCGATATATTCAGTTGATATTCGACGTCAGGAAACGTTGAATGTTGATGAGTATGAGGTAAAGGTTTCTTTCATATACATGAGAAGGTTATAAAATTATTGAATAACAATAAGAATAGAAAGAGCAATTGGGGAAAAAAAGTATTCGTGGGGAGAAATGAGACTAAAATACATTAGCATGATCTAGTCAAGAAAGAAGCAGTGGACAAGCTGCGCTTACCTCAAGAAGGGAAGAAGTAAGGAAGAAACGTTTAAAAAGTGGAGTTTGAAGCAGACGAACTTCAATGATGTTGCAACTACCAAGTTCGAAATAACGCCAGGCATTGGCATTAAAATAATCGCCTGCTACAAGTTTTTGATATCTACGAAACCAGTTTTGTCCTACCGAAGTGATCTGCAATGCTTGGTAGCCGGTGGACATCGATGTTGAAGTCGACATACCAAGACCAATAATTTGCCAAAGGTGCTGGGTATGACATGCGTACCGGTACCGGTTTCCCTCTACAGTGAGGTAGTGTAGTGTAGTAGTTACATCTGCGCATCACATCAATTGCATGGGGTTCGGCTGTTCTCTCAATGGTTCATCGCCGATACTAGCATCTCCAAGCATTAAGTTGTGTTATACTGATGCAGGGACTTGGAAACAACTAGAGACTCATTCCTTCAAGATCAGGGCTGTCTGTGGTCCAGGCGCCAAATACACACATTGCTAAATTTAAGATAGTTGAAAAAAGTGGATGTTGGTGTCTACTAGTCAGTGTTCACTACTACTAGCGCTTGACTTGGCTTCAAACCTTCGCCTGGAATATCATCCCTACAAGCGTATAACTATAAATGCCTGCGATGGCGATGGATGCATTGCGCTCTCCGCTTGAGCCGGGTGTTGAAATTCGGTCATTTTGTTCTTGGAAGTGGGAAATTCCCGTGAAGCTAATTTTATGCCCTTAGTCCGGAGACTCAGTTTCATACCCGACATCGCTGTATATTAATTCCACTGTATTAACAAGGTGTTGTAAATATATTTGTACTATATACGCAACAGGGATTCACAAGAGCTCATATCGACGTTCGAGATACCTGCTAGTTGGATGTAATATCAAAGAATGTTTGATAGGCATTATTGGTTCCTACAAAGGACGTAGCAGAGAGGGGCCTATCCAATTGATTTATCAGTTGGTGATTGTCTTGTAGCCAGGCACTTCAATGTTCGAAGAGCTAATACTATTTCCCTTTTGGGCTTCCATCTAGAAGTGTCAAAGATGCAGATAGAATTTGCCGCTGGGAAAGTTAATCTAGCACGCTAAAGCCGGTGCTCTGCTCATCGTAGATCTGTACTACTGTCGCCATGATTATCTTCATATGACAGAAATTGGTAGGTGCTTTCAATCGAAAACTTGAAATGCTCCCCGGTTATCACAAGTTCAACGTATCAGAACGATTAGGTGTTGAAGCCGTAGCAGACCCCACACCTTCACATACCACTTCGAATTCATTGAGTTGTGATCGCTTTGAAATGACTCGAAGGTTTTCGTTAAGGAGGCACCGTACGAACGTACCTGAAGCCCAGTTTTCAGTCCTCGAGAAGATCGCTTTAGTCCTCCATGCTCGGGGAACAAAGGATGACGACTGTGCGTCTAGATGGCGTATAACAAACTGGAGAAACTCGATCGATAATCCTCATTGGTAGAGGTGAAAAAATCCGCAGTGAGTTATTATTATTGGCCGTTTTGTCTAATATTGGATCGTCTGGTTCTTCCCCTCATTGTGTGCCACCTTGGTGCCACCTCGGCTTACAACCTCGAACCTCAATTCAAGCGCTCATGGTGCTGTACCGCCATATGACTTGGAAAGGAAGATATTTGTTGTGAAAGGAACACAAAGGTCTATATATATTGTAGTAAACTTTGTGAAAACTTATTTTCCTCCAACAGATGTGCTGCGACTCAGTCCTCGGGCAACAGTGACTTCACTATTACATCAGTTCCCATATAGTAGTGAAAATCCTACAGCCTACCGGTAATAAAAGATTCGAAGCGTGATCACCTATGTTTAGTCATTTTTTAAACCTTTGGCTACAGGTATTCTGTGATGTTTAACCTCTGTTAGGCGTATATTAGAGTTTTCGAATTCAAGGAATTTGGCTAGCTTCGAACTAATATAGTCCGAATACCACAAAAATGTACGAGCACAAAATCTGGCGGCGATTTGATTGACTTTAGAGCTAAGAATGGAGTGCATGTTCCCCAGCCTTTTGAATAGAATTCTAGCCTTTTCCGACGAACTCCACGATTTTTCTAGTGATAAAGTCTGTGTGGTAATGTGGTACGCAGGATGGGTTCGGAATTTCGGATACGCACAACGCGTACGTTATTTCTCCGCATTGCAAAAATGGGCCGCATCTTTTATGCCTTTAATCCGTGTGAAAAACTAAAGAAATTGCTAAATAGTGAGTTGTGCGGTGTGGTGTAGTAAAGTGATGGTAGTTAGTTATTTATTAGAACCACTAATAAATAATTTAGTGGTGGGAGGTTCAGACTAGATATTTCGCTAACTGTGTCTAACGCCACCAACGTAGTGATATCTTTCTGTAAATTGAACGAATGCTTAAACATGTATTGACGAATCGGAAACTATCCCGACTCCTCGGTTCGGAAGATTCTTTCGAATGTGTCCTTTGTGATAATATATAGAATTGTGTACTCGATTTCGGTTTAATTTTACTTCGTCGAGTGCTCTGTTGAACGGGCGAGAGGACCAGAGCGAATGCGGAGTCGAGATTAATGTTCATTTTGAACCGGAATTGAGCTAAGCTGCTTCGATTCATAGATTCATCAAGGTCTCGAACTTAAGGTCATTGATCCTCATCGGCTGAGTTCCGTTATCAAGAGAGAGTTAGATAGTAAGTCCATCACAACCAATCAAGTACATTCATCTGCGATAACATTGATCGTCGCTGAAAATAACATAATTGGCGTAGTGTGGATGAAGATGTACATCGTATCATTATTTCCACACCCTTTTTATTCCAATTACACCCCATAATTTCCAAGCCAGCCATATTCAAGGAATTTTGAGCAAAAGTTTCGAGGTTTGAGGATTATCGGATGCTTGCTGCGCCTGCCTGTACCTATCTCCACTCCTCCCTTGCTCCCTTTCCCCTGCGTCAACTTTCGTGATTGAAGATCAATTATCATCACACAGATTGCCTGGAAGTCCACCTATGGCAGGTCTTGCCTCTCCAAATTAGAGCAAATTGTTCCCCGCTAAGGTGAGTTAATTAATACACATTTGCTGTAATTTTTCTTGTAGAAATACCGGTGCGTAGTTGTCCAATTTGACGAAAAAGTCGGAGATTGACCAAAGTTTCACTCACCGGCAGAGCTTTGATTTCCTGAACCTAATCAGGATTTGAGTCTCACATTTCTCTTCAAGGTAGATCCTAGATTAGCGGGGGGTTATCCACATTCATTTGCACCAGATTTCAGTACCGATTTTGACCCCTAACTACCGTACAATGGACTGAAAATCACTCCCCACCAAACTCTTGTGCAACACTGTAACCTTGGCTCAACGGCGTAGTCCTTGTCGAGATCCGCTTCTCTCAAATTAAAAAGAGTACTTTTACTGGATGGCAGACGCTCTTCTCAATGAGCCTATCGTTCGTCAAGCGCTGCACCCTTGTTGTTTCCGATGGGGAAGTGCACAGCTGCCCAACGGCTGAAGTGGGCAAGATGGGAAAGTGGCAGGTCCAGATTGATCGGCAATCATGCCAGTGAAGATCGCCGAAGTTTTGTAGACAAAAGCATGGATCTCGCGTCCTTGAAAGGCTCAGGCATCCGAAGATGGGGGTGAAGCTGTCGTGTCCATCATGCCATGTCAAGCAGCTGCAATCTCGCCAAGATGCAAATAATTTTCCAACTCATCGAAATAATATTGTCTCCAGAATTGTCTCATTGAAATAAGGTGTTTTGAACGAAATGTCCGTGATTCTTGAGTGGGCCCATCCATAGTCATGAATCTATGAAATGAGGAGGAGGGGGCGGTCTATGAGTTGACTGCAGATGACCTGGAAGCAAATTATGCCAGAGCAGGGGGCCTGCCTGATTGACACACCTCGTTCGCCCTGCCTTTCATAATTATATTGTTTCCGACATTGGTGCGGGTAAAAGAATGGACGAATGTCGTAAATTCAGGCCATATCATTTTGTCAGTATTGCACACTCTCTCTCGCAAGGATAGCCACAATCTAATCATTTTCAAATACAATCAGAGTTTTCCTTTAAGCTGCTGGTAATGCAAAACATGTTATGCTTTCGTCGTCGTGTGTAATCAAATCTCACTTGCGAATGCCGCACAAGGAATAGTATATTGTCCATCATGGGGCTGTGCAGGTCGGCGATGCTGGGCCTACATCACTCGAATTGGATATATACGGATCTTCAGGAAGCGAGAACAAGCAAATCATGAAAGAATCATTCACATCGTATAATCAAGCTCCCCCTGGGATGGCGACAGCGTCGGCAATGCAGGTTCATTACCCATACAGGCATCCTTGAAGAGGGGTTCGCCTTGTTCGGCCCCTTTTGGGCGAGTAATATCATAGATGAGAGAGAGCAGCAGTCTTCCTTCACCGTCTTCATGAGATGGCACATTGTTATCCTGGCGAATCTTTTATATTTTTTTCAAGGGGTCGGCATGATACGACTGTGAATTTCTTCGTCGTTCGCAACATAAGCCATAATACTGGGTAAAGAGGTTCTCTGCAGTGTTTCGAAGTCAGGGGTAGAAATATCATGAACTCTCCCCTGCGAACACGTTTCATAGAATCGAGATCCCCAGCTGTTGCGGGGGGGTATTGTTTTCTGCAGATCTGCATGTTGAACTGCGTGCTTATCATGAAAGAGTTACATCCAAAAAAAAGTAGCAGCACGCAGCACGTGGCACACCGCAGTCGAAACTAAAACCTTCAGCCCACAACGCCCACGCGGGTAGGACGGTATCCTCACCCATTCCACTTTAGGCTTAACATTTGGGAAGCTCCAATATGGAAATCATCGCACCGGATGATTGGCTTGATCAAGGATTTTCGTCGTAAAACCAGGGACGCTTCGATCCATACGTATGGGACGGGAAAACCATGGGCACGGGGATGGACCCATGAAAAGCATCCATGGCCGGTATTCCCAATTTAGTGACAGCAGCTAATGCATTCAAATCGGTAGCGGGGATGGAAAATAAAACACCGCATTCCCAGTTTCTGCAATTCAACTTAGGCTCTTTCGTTGCTCGGTCCTTCACCATACGGCCCCTTTATTCGGTAGGTTAGCTGCCTGTCCGGGCTCTATTTTCATTTCGCTTGATGAAGGAAAGTACAATATGAAAACGGATAAGACTTGCCATGCACTTTCGGAAAGATTTGCGCTTCCAACGTATGCCCATGCGATAGGTCGTGGACTTTCTTGAGTCTTCTGGGATCTCACAAATAGCATCTTGTTGTGCATCAATAATCCCTTCCTACAACTTTGACAATCGCGCATGAGGCTTCTGGGGAAACTAGTTGCGTCGTACCATTTTGATCGAAAGCAAACCGTGCCAGCAGCCTGTGAATCGTAAAGTTAGTGATCATTGGGAAGCCATATCCTAGTAACAGTCATTTGTTTCAAAATTTAGAGTTTCCTTACATCTGTACCACCCTTGCTTTCTATAACTGTTTGCTTGCTGTATATGGGCATTTAATGACCAATTCTAATATGCAAGGTTGATGAATGTACCTGGGAAAATACACGCGGAATCTGCGCCCAATTTCTTCCGAGAGTTGTCTCTCCAACAAGGTCTCTGTTTTGGACCTTGTGGGCTTCTCTGTTCTCCACTTGTATTCCTTGTATCCATTATCGCCTAGTTGTATAGCAAGTCAGTCCATGGTGCAATAACAAGAAGCGACAATTACAGAACACTGTGCTCGTACTTCATGCCGCCAGAAAGTCCGCAACTCGGGTAAACCAGCACATACCATATGGTGGTAAACTACAATAGGAATAGCCTAGTTTTTAACTTCCCGAGTTGCGGACTTCTGGCGGCATAAGTATGAGAGGGTCACTTGAACCCTGCGAATGTCGTTATCTGCCTGTAAGGCAGGTCATAAACTAAAGCATGGGGAAAGTTCGGAAATAATGCAGATGTCAAAATAGCATACTTACCCTGTGATGCCAAATATATTGTCCGGAGAAATCGGTCATCAAGGTTACCAATAGAAGCAGTCTGTTGGGGTTAGTGTCCAATATCTTGTTGAATGAGTTTGAGCGTACTAAGAAATCAAGTTCCAATGGTTGGTCTGTCTCCAGCCCAAGGCTGCTTACAGATCTGCCCAAACCAGGGTAGCCGGTTCGTTGCAATTCCGGGCCAAAATGGGATCCCCCACTGAATGGAGTTAGATGTGGTCAATATGAAGGAATTATGATATGTACACACATGGAATGTACAAGTGCTAGATGATTCGTATTAGAATAGTCAAAGTTTCTGAAACTCTCCAACGTTTTAGGCGGCAGTCCCATAGCTCCAAGGAAGTGAAACAATTCCTTTGAAAATGGTGTTGTCTGGTCGTCAGACGCCTTCTCGCCATCGGACAATCTTGGAAGATCAATCAAAAATACGACCTAGTCAATTTGTATCAGTTCAATTGCGAGGTGACGGTAAGTTGCTCACATTTTCCACGATTCCACCGCTCTCTCCCCAATCATATGGCGTCAGATTCGCCGAGGGTATGACCAGTCGTAAATGTGTAGGATGCGCCAGGAGTTGGAGTTTTGAATGCATGCAATCAACGTTACCTTCCATCGAGGGAAAACAAAATCGAAAGGTTTTTGGTGCTAATGATTGATAATTCAGTTTCTAAAGTATCTCAGTCAACATGGTACTTGGAACAAAGTATAATACTTTCATCCAGTAATTCGCTGGTAGAATGACAGAAGGAAATCTTCCTGGTCTTGATGCTGGATCTTGAGTTGCCAACAGTCCAGACTGCAGCTCGTATTTGAAAGCTTTCGATCCCTCGAAAGCTATGAACCTTTATGGATGTTATATTCCCAAAAAGAAATCTCATGTTGAAAGTGAGAATAAGATAATATGAACAACACATATTCGCAATTGGAATGTAATTGAAAACATTGAAAACGTTGGCTAGATTAAATGAATGCTTTCGGAATGTTAAGTGGGATTCTAACGTGGCATCAGGCAGTCTCTCGCAATCAGATCAATCTCTTGGGGTGCCAAATAGTTCCCGTTCACAGTATAAATCTGGAATGTGAAGCTCGTTCCATGTTCTGAGATGCTGTATGGCTTTTCCTATTCAGATAGCCCGTTTTTTCCCTCTGGATTGGCTGCGCAAGAGAATAAGAACTATATGCCACTCGGCCACGCTGAGAATATGTTTGGGAGGAAAGGCGACAAGATGCAAAAGCTTAGAAATAGGATCAAGGAAAAAACATTCTACTTACTTCGGATTCATTTTTCGCTTGTAAGACCCAAATAACCTTTGTTCCTGGTGATATCTTTGATATAATCCAATCAGGTTCTATTTGGAAGGCGCTCAATAAAGCATGGGTAAGGTCCGCACTTTGAAGAACCTCTTCAATTTTGATATCATCCTCCCGGGGAAAGCCATCAGCCCAAGTTTTTTTCACTACTCCATGAGGAAATTGAACACCGATGCCTGAGACGCTTCCTGGTTTAGTATCTCTGGGTAAATTTTCAGTGATGACGGAAGTGCCTGTTTCTGGGTCTCTTTCGGTGAATCCGGAGGAAATTCTGTCAAGTGCGCGACCTGTTCCTCCACTCGTGGAGTTTCGATCCGTAGATTTGTTTTGGTCGTCGTCGTCTGCCTCTCTACTGAGTGTCGCCTCTAGTCGAGAGGCTTTTGGCTGGCGACGTTCGCCGGGTGAAGATGCCGGCGAGGAAATCGAAGCCTTCCTTTTCTTAGAAATGGCATCTGGTGCCCTACTCTTATATTGAACTCTTGCTATACGTTCTACCTCCATCTGCTTACGGTTCAAGCCATTGAGCACTGTACTGCTTGGCTGGCTGGGCACTACAGATGGTCGGAGTTAGCATTATTGAATGAAACCGCGTGGTACGAATTATACTTACCACGAGAACTGGTGCCAACCTTTTCATCCGTGCTTGTATTGTGAATAGGATCAGCTTGTGCGAATTTGAAGTGTGATGCGACAGGTGCATCGAGGTCATCATCGTCATCTGAAACAGTAAGATCAATAAGACTTTTCTCACGAGTTGGTAATGACGATGAAGTTTGTCCCAAAGATAGAGCAATAGCTCTCTTCAAATCTTCGTCGAATTCCGAGTCGGACATGACTATAGCAATTGTAGAGACCTGATGTAAATGAGTAGGTACCTCTACCAAAGTGATAATGAAGGTGAAGTATTGATTTCCTGATAGGTGGCGTACCTGTCGGAGATGACAAACATGAGTTTGTCAATATCAGAAAGCTTCCTGGTTGCTTACAGCAACAAGCAGAGACACAAGGAAACAGGAAACAAACAAGGCATAAAGAGTGTGAGATAATTCATATCAGATGGGCTTCACTTTCTGTCTTATTGATTGAATCAACTGGTCTTGTGAAATTGATCACAACATCGAAGGACGATTTGATACTGTCCTTTGTTTTTGTTTTTTTCCCTTGTTGCTGAGAGAGGCAGAGGCATTGCCGAAGGAAGTGCGGTAGAGGTTCCGCGTTCCAAATTAACCCTTGCTAGCTTGGATTCATTTAAATTTACTGATATATACGGTATTATTGATCAAATTCTCAAATCTGTCGCATCACCCAACTATTAACCCTAGGTACTCAGATAAGTAAACCAATCAATATATCGAGCGCTATTCAAATATACAATCATGAAGTTCAAGATATTTGTTACACTTCAGTTTAGACATCAAATGGGGTTAAGATATTGATTGATCTTATCCAAACACCGGGCAAGATTGATTCAAACATTTGACGCTAGTATACGGAGATAAGAATACAGCGAGGATACCTAATAGATAAGACTTTCAGCTCACAAGAATTTCATTGATAGCTTCATTATTGCCGTCTTCTTTCTACACTTCTCTATGTTGTTGCGTCCATTGTGTAGGCCAATTTGGCGTACTTCCTTTCGTTATGCTTCTTTAAGTTGCCGACATATATCTCAAACTGACAAAGCTCCGCCCTTCCCTACAATTGCAAAATGCCCCTCTCCAACATGTTCTTGCGCCGAGAATCCCAAGATGCCAGAAGGCTTCGAGATAGACCATCTAAAGCCACTCAATGGCACGATGGCTGCATATGCTGAACAGGTTCTGATATGTACGGGGAAGCCAGATTGGCCTTCTCGTATTGAGGAAGACAATTCCGGGGACAACCTGGCTGCGGACATCAAGGAGTTGATGGGTCGCGGCGGGATGTATAGTGATGTATTAACTCCCAATATTTCTCTTCATTTAGGTTGAAACTGACAGTATCATAGCCTTATAACAATGTTTCGATCACGAACGCATCCTTTCCTTCTACGATTGCCTCACATCGACCTGAGATTATAACGACTTCTGCCTACATTTTACCATCTTTCAAATATATACCTTTCCTACCACGAGTTTCGTTCGATTCCGTGCAAGCTCTGGTGAAAGGATACTTGCTTCCCACGAAATTAAATTCCGCACATGATAGCCTATCTCCCATACACAAAGATCGTTTACGGCGGAGTGAGCAAGAAGCACGTTTTTTGCCCGCTGTAAAAGATGTGAAGGATATCTTGGTATTAATCTGCGGACATGGAGGGCGAGATATGAGATGTGGAATTACAGGCCCAATTTTACAAGCCGAATTTGAGAGAGTTCTGCCGGCGAAAGATGTACAGGTCTTGAAAGGTGCAGTGGAGGTTGGTGACGATAGCTCTACAGGGCTTTTGGAAGGATCGAGTGAACCGATCGGGAATACTGCAAGAATTGCTTTGATAAGTCATATCGGGGGGCATAAATTCGCTGGTAATGTCATACTTTACATCCCACCTAATACGAAGATGAGGGATGGTGGAGCCCATCCGCTGGCCGGTTGTGGAATTTGGTATGGGAGAGTGGAACCGAAACGCGTCGAGGGTATTGTGCAAGAGACATTGTTGGAAGGAAAGGTCATTGAAGAAATGTTTCGCGGTGGGATTAAACAAGGCGGTGAAATTCTGAGGATATAGACGCCTCTTTTTCGACGTGGGCAACGAAGCAATGTAGCAAAGCAGAGTGAAACCACTGACAGGCAGGCAATGGCACGAAAGAATAGTGTTGTTGAACAATAGAATATAATAATAAGAATGGGATATAGAAAGTATCTCCACGGCAGGTAAGCAGCGTTCGAAGAATAGTTTACAATACGCAACAGAAAACCTCCTCCCCAATTCTCGATGATAAATGTCTACATTCTGATCATATCACCGAGTGGAAGATATACGTAGCCCGTTGCAAATTACTCATCTTTGAACTTCTATTAGCAGACGCTCGATGTCTCGGCCAGAGGCAAATACTTATTACTACTACCCGTTACCACATGCCTCACAATGAGCACCGAGGCAAGCTTAAAACAGCTGTTACATAGGTAGGTATGTATGTGGAAACGACATAGATGCATCACATGATAGTCTAAGTAGATTGATTGGTGAGTACCTAGGTTGGTAGGTAGAATTGAGATGGAGATGAATGGAACACATTGAGCAAGAGTATGCATCGGAATATCGGCATTTTCATTGCCCATTCAATTCCTCCATTCCATTTCTATTCCGCCATTCATGATCTTCGTGAATACGAGGTCTTTTAAGTGGGGTTGTTCTTTTGCATAGAGCGTTCCAGTTCCTTCGATTTCTTCTAAAATCAAGTATTTTGCCCTCATATGCATATTTTAATACTCATTTTAACCAAATGTGATCTAGTGGTTCCGTTATTTAGGTTCTAGAAGTCCCTCTGACTGCTCTAATTAGCGGGAGATCCTCCCTTTCCCGATGTTGTTAGCATGGAGAAGCCACACTTCCACAAAGGGGTTTACTTCTTGCGCTTCTCGGTATCTCTTTTCAACCAATTAAATGACCTCTTGTTTTATTTATTGGCTTAATTCTACGGGTACTTTAAACTGTTCAACCACATCTTCTACCTGATGCCGCATTCACAGACAACAAGAAAACCAATCACATTCCGTTTCGAAAGACTATACTATAATTGGCTGGATGAGACAACTCCTACGTCATTGTAAACAATGGAAGCTCAATTTGCCGCAGGAGACGAGGCATGAGCTCGTTCTTTCTTGCAGTTACCTGCAGATACAGTTGCAATTCTAGTTGAATGCGCCTTCCCTTTGTGTGCCCATTGGTAACAACTTGGTCATAAGCAATTTCAGGTATGACGTACTGGAGCCATCAGGGTTAGTGAATGCGTCCTTAGCTTCGTTTGAGGGAAAGCAGATTAGGATATAAACCTCCATCTCTCCCATCTTCTCAGTTTCTTTTTCATCAACAATACAACTCACAAGTCTATTCTACAACTTTACAATAAACCAAACAACCTCAAATCAAACCTTCAAACCAAACACTCAAAACTTTCAAAATGGAGTCCGTCAAGGCAAGTCTCTCTTTTCTACTCATTATCCAACGATTCCTCCTCCGTTTTCACAACACCTTCTAACACAACTCCCATAGAACGCTGCCAACTACGTCGCTGAGACCGTCCAAGGTGCCACCGCCACCACCTCCAAGGAGGCCAACAAGTCAGTCGCCAAGGACAGCGACGCAAGCATCGGAACCCGCGCCAGCGCCGGTATCGATGCTGTTAAGGACAAGGCCGATGAGTCAGGACACAACACCAAGGCTGATGTCCACAAGGGTACGTTCTACTTTCCTCACTTTCACTTTTAACTTGATCACATACTCACAAACTTTGCAGAGGCTGCCAAGCACTAGATTCTTCAACTCGATGAATCTCGCGCTCACAATTCGATCATAATGGCTTTGGCGTCTGGGAAAGATGGGAGGATATTTGGGGAGGAGGTGATGAGCCAGAAACTCATGTATTAGTGGTCTCAATACCCTCATAACAATAACGATGCTTTCATGATTAATAAAACAACTGTGTCTATCGCTATGCAACTGTGATTTGAATTTTTATTGGTGCAAAACAAACATTTTATTGATGATCTCAAATTCTAGTAAGTCAAGAATGGGAATTTCCCAAGTTTCCTAGCTGTTGAAAACAGCTTCTCAACGTTTTCATGTGTTCAAACTTCAAAGTTCAAAGGGAGCCAGTAACCAGTTTGGCTGTTTACCTGCTTAGTGGCGGCCCTGGCGGGGTATGCTTGTGATGTCATAGACCGGAATTAATGCTCCGATCAGCATGGAAAGGGGAAATACCGGTATTGATTACGGATAAAGGTAACGCCGTGAAATGAAATGGTCAGAGCTTCATTTTTCAGCTGGAGCTCCAATTTTTGATGGACGAATGGTTTGATGGAACTGGAGTGGGGTGTAGGTAGAGCAGAGCAAGCAGTTGACTTGATTAGTAGTATATATTATCTTTTTTCGTATCATTCTCTCAGATTGATGAGTTCGATTCAAGCCAATTGATCTTCGAACCTCTCCTCCATCGATCATGTCTTCAATAATGGAGCACATAGATCAAACCACCATCCTCTCGCTCCTCGGCGTCCTCGCCATTCTCCTCTCCTCCTACGCTCTCTCCACGCGTGTCCTAGCATCCACCACCCCCTCCTCCCTCCGCATCCTCTTCATCTGGCATTTCTTCGATTTTCTCATCCATACCATCTTCGAAGGTTCTTTCCTCTACAATTGTTTCTTCTCGCGCATTCCCTACGATTCATCGATTGCTCACCCGGTTTCCCTCAATAACTTCTTGGGCACAACCGAATATGTGTATGGAGCACTGTATGCGGATAATTGGGCTAGCAAGTTGTGGATGGTGTATGCTCAAGCGGATCGCAGATGGGCGGGTGCGGATTTGACGGTCGTGAGTTTGGAGTTGTTGACTGTGCTGGGGGCGGGCCCGCTGGCGCTGTGGATTTGTTGGGGGATAGCGAGGAAGGATTGGAGGGTTAATTTTTGGATGGTGGTGCTTGCTACTGGGGAATTGTATGGGGGTATGTTTATGGGGTTTCTTTTCTACATCTTCTACTTTTCTACCTTGCTTTGTCCTTTCTTCTTCGAGATGGGCGTGAGGAACAAATGCTAATGTTTGAATGAATGAATAGGTTTCATGACCTTTGCGCCCGAATGGTTGACGGGAAATCAAAATTTGGATACGAGTAACTTTATGTTTAAATGGGTGTACTTGATTTTCTTTAATATGTTGTGGGTTTTCTTGCCGGTATATGCGTTGTATGTGGCGTTTTATGATATTGGCAATGCGATGCAGGTAAGGAATAGTGTTATTAACGCGAGGGTTGAGATGTTGAACAGGGAGAGACAGGGGAAGAAGAATTGATATGGGATGGGATGGGATGGAGAATTGAGATAGGATGGGAGGGGAGAGAGGATGAAAAATGAGATGAGATGAGATGAGATGGGAGGGGAGGGGATGGGATGGGATGAAGAATTGAAATAGAATGGGACGTATGGGAGGGGGAGGGGGAGTGGATGAAAGAGGAGAGAAGAATGGAATGGGATGAAGATTTGAGATGGGATGAAGATTTGAGATGGGATGGGAGGAGATGAAAGAGGAGAGGAGATGAGGTTGATGGGAGATGTATCACCTCTAGATACCCGGATTCATGGCTATATTGTGTTATATTACTCATACATGGTTTTAGATGATTGTATATACTAGGGGGTACTATAACTTTGGACTATCTTCGAATACACCATAATCACCACCTATGCATACTCAACATTCCACGAATCCTAATGGATTCTCTGCGAATGTATAAGTAGACAAGTAAATTCACATCGTTTACAATGAGCATTACTTGTTGATATATTGTCATACAAGGTGTGCTTTGAAAACGAACACCTATACTTTGAAGATCACCCTTGGAGCTCAATATATTTTTAAGACCCTGGGACGCGAACTAAGCCACAGTGGCTGAACAGCATCTCCATCTGTCTCGACCCACCCCTCCTGTTTCCAGCTTGTGGCTTGGGGCTTAGTGGCTCAAATCACCAAATACAAGTTCCGGTACTCCAAATAATGACGTCACAAAGTCTCGAGCATTTTGAAGTTTTAATGATCAAAAGTGACGAATTGAATAAGAGTACCAAAGTAACAAGTGCTGTACCAAGTCTTAATGTGGAAACTTCGAATGTCACTTTAATTACATAAAGTGAGCTCAATGGGTTGCGGGTTGCTTTCGTCTAGCATACTTTCTATTCTATCGCACTGCTACTTATTATATGAATAAAGGAACTCCCTTTAGATTCTGCTAGGCGAGTAGGCGACATCTCAGCCGTTAGCAATTAAGGGAACGGGAACAGCCACGAAGTTGCAAATACAAATGTCTGGGTTGAAGAGGGAACAAAGGGAAGAATATGTATGGAGTAGAGTATGAGGACCGAGCAAACAAAGAAAACCTTAAACCAACCAGGGTTTCTCCAGAAAGATTAACCTGCTCTACTTATTATTTGGTATATTATATATTAGTCGAGTAAGCTTGTGATCAATCTACTTTCTGGTTTGACGACATCATTACATACAGATTCTAATATAAGCCGTCAGCCAACCCCGCATTCTATTTTATACCTTTCTTATCTCCTCAATTTATTTATTTCACCAATCCACTATCAATTACAATACTATACCTCACATATCCAAAAAGAAGATATACAATCAATTAGCCCATCATGAAAGGCGGTGGTGTAATACTCAAGGCCCTTCAATGGTTCCTTCGCGCTGTAGAATTCTGTTGCGCCGCCATCATCCTCGGAATCTTTTCCTATTTCCTCGCCAAACTCTCCACCAATAACCTCCCCATCGCCAACTACATCAAAGCAGTCGAAGGAATATCCGGTGCTGGAGCATTATATACCGCTCTTGCACTGGGACTTCTGTGCTGTCTCGCCGGCCTAGCATTCTTCTCCTTCATCGCTATCATCCTCGATTTCTGCTTCACAGGCGCTTTTATCTATGTCGCCTATGCGACTCGAGGTGGTAAATCATGCTCGGGTTTTGTGGTGACGCCCTTGGGAAGCGGAAATTCGGCGACGAATGATAGGACGCTGGGGGTGGGGAGTGGGAGGAATACGTCGCTACCTAGTTTGCATACGAGTTGTCGATTGAATACGGCTTGTTTTGCTGTTGCGATTATTGCTGCGTAAGTACTCTCGGGTATACCTTTTTATCTTCTATCACTTAATCCACAAGAGGAGAGAGAACAGAGAAAACTAACTTTGACATCAGTGTATTCTTCTTCATATCCATATTCGTCGAACTAGCCCTCATCAAACACCACCGCAAAGAAAAAGCCTTCGGGCCCTCCCCCAACAACGGCTACACAGCCGGCACCCCCCGCCGCAAATTCTGGCAACGCCAACCCGCGCGCGACGGCGAATACATGGCCGGCGGGCTGGCAGCCGAGAAACCCGACGCACTACCCATGCATTCGAGTCCCAACGATGTAAGAAATTCTTACGCTACGGATGCGACGATGGTGGGGAGAAATCATGAGGGCTATGGCGCGCAGACGGGCTATGCACATTCTCCTGTGTCGCCTGTGGCTAATACCGGTACGCATGGGTATGGGCATCGTGTGAATGGGGTGGATTATGGGAATACTCCTGGGTATGGAGGAGCACAAAATGCAAATGCAAATGCGCATGCGTCGGAGATGCCGGGTGAGGGGTATAGAGGGGGAGGCGCTCATCAGTATCGCACTGCCAATGGTACTTTTTAATTAAAGTATCTTCGATGGGTGTAGGTGATAGGATAGGACAGGGAGATATGCTATGCGAATAGGAATAGATAATAAGGCAACTTAAAGGTCCTGTACAACATTTCGTATTTTGGCTGGTTATATTTCGTCAACGTTGGTAACTTGTGTACCTATGTACTTGTAACGATACTATGATAGATTTTTTAATGCGCAATGATTATGCTTCTTTTTTTTTCTTTACAATATTGTAACATTAGCTCTTTATTCATATCTGTGACTTACGACTGCAAATCAACCCCCTCATATCTCGCTTGAATTTCTTGGTTACGTGTTTATAAGGCTGGGGATGAATACATCACTCACTCTTGTATTTACTCGAGTATATTCGTCTTATCACATTACAAAGGGACATGGCTATCTATTCACTACTCGATCGAGTATACAAAAATCTATTTCTGCAATTCGCAAATCATAATTCACAATCCGTACTAGCAATCCCCTTCCGAGTCATTCATTCCCTTTTGCTTTTAGTTTTAGTTTTTCTTTGTTTATATATTTATACTTGAATATATCTAACTATCTATTTTTGCTTGGTCCGTCTAGGGGTGGAACTTGGAAGGATTATTGTAATTATTGTATTCTTATTCGGGAAGTGTGGTTTAGTGTAGTGTGGTATCTACTTCAACTTGAAGTTCACTTATATGATATATTTTTGGACTGATGTGATTGATTGACTTGAGTGACCTGAAAGTTGAATCGCAGATTCATGGGTATTCTTTTAATACTTTAATAGCCACTGGCAACAAGTTGGGTTTAAATAGTAGCACGATATGAAACACTGTTATTATAGGTTTGTAAAGTAGTATTGTAAGTAGAGAATATCAGCGTACTTCAATCCTGGTGACTTCTCTTGTCGAATGGTGAGATGTAATGTGGTGACTCGGAGTGGGTGATGGATAAGAGAAAGAGACAGAGATAGAGATAGAGACATAGTTGGAGTGTGAGATGTAGATGTAGATGTATTCGAGTAAACAATGTTGGAAGGTTAGTTACTAATATATCTCACCCGAATCTGATATCCACTGCTCGAGTAGAGGTGCGATTTCCTCATGAGAATCTAGTTAGGTTGATATATTTATAAAACATTCTTCTGGTTTGGAATATATCGGACAAGAAATTGAGAAATTATGTTTTGGTTTTAGATCCAAATATACTCGTATATAGACATGGAATCATTTTTACTCGTCTTGTATACTTGGGATGTTGTATTTTTATTGTTCAGGTTAGAGTTGGTTATTAAAACGCTCTTGTTACTCCTGTCTAAAAAGTATTGAACAATAACTCTTAGGGTTTAAATGAGGTTTTAATGTCTAAGATGGTTATATCCATTACTATTGTCTGATGTATCTGGATTATAACCGCATTGTCCAAGTCATAGGTAGTGAGCGGTTGGCTATTCTCATCCGAGATACTTTAAAGTTTAATACGCCCTTCTGTTACTCGAGTGGGACTTGCATGTTGAAATAACATCATGTTTATCAAGAATACTTTAAACAATGAAGCGAGATGTTGAATTAAACACTTGCCTTTGCTATCTAAAGGTTTTGTTGCATATTGTCTCTTGGTAATAACCTAATTACCAGAAGTTTTGCGATATGCAACAAAACAACCTGCTCTCCTAGTACTCTCTCAGTACTTGCCCTTTCGACTCCCCTCCCCCTTTTGCTGTTCAGAAGTTTTGTTGCATATCTTACCATGGAAATAACCTAATTACCATAAGCTTTGAGGTATGCAACAAAACTACCTACTCTCCAGTACTTGCTCTTCCTTTCCCCCTTTTTGTTTACCAAATTGAAACGCATTTTCCACTTCTAGTGCTAATATTTATAGCTAGATAACCGAAGTCTTGTTCCATATTATACTCGTATTAGGGAGATAAACCGCTGGCAATTGCTATGAGAAATGCGGCCATAAGATATTATCATATGAGATATTCTTTTCTGCACATACCACAGCCCGAGACAATTTCGACCTCAAAGAAATCAAATAGCGAGACACCCGGGCCTGTATCAGGCTACGAGTAATCTACGTAGCCAAGATGATATAGTCTCTGCACCTACTTCCTACCTGCTAATTCAAAATTACAAAGTAACACTTCCAGGATTCAACGCACGCATCATATTCAGGTCTCTCTATTCACTTTGTCCCGATCTTAGGCCCGATATGGCCAATTCGTATCGCGAAGGTTATACCGAGTATAATGCACACCCAACCTGACCTTTTTCCGACCAGACATTAATTAAGGACAAAACAGTGCTTTTGAGTTTTCAGACAACTCCACGCATCCGCAGTATACTAGTATTTGATGTCAAACGAGTGTTAAAGTCTTAGAGCCATCCTTTTCCCGGTCCGAATCTTGGTGTTTTAGGTGCATGATTTCTGTTTTGATGGCTATTCGACGTTAGGTCTGGGTTGATATGTTTTGCTTGGAGTTGGAGGTCATGTTGAAGATGACCTTGTTGGTTGTGCTTGGTCTGGATGGTAGGCAAGTAGGTATAAGATTGAGAAGAATTGAGTGGGTTTGTGAGGTATATTCGTTCTCACCATCATATCATATTCCACGTCCAGATTTCCCTGCGTTTTTTCATTCATCCTATTGTGCCCCTCACTCATTCTCAAATTATCTATCATCCACATAAGATTACATAATCCAAAAACTCCTCAGTACCACCATGTCCAGCACCAAGAAACAAGGAAAGCCTGCCCAACAAAAAAGTTCCGCCAGAAGCATGGTACTACCAGCTGTGATGGCATTAGCAAGCGATGCGGTAGACAACGTTAAAAAGAGAATCTCATCTGTTAAGGAATCGAAACTTTTGGATGAAGGGATGCATCCACTGAATAAGAAGATTAATCAGAAGGTTAATT